GTATGCTTGCTCTATCGTCACATATACCGTCCCGCTCAACGCGTCGTCGAACATCAAGGATAAGTACGTGGAGCTCAGAAGGTGACAATTTTGTCTTGAGAGATACTCTGACATTAAAAAATTAGTAAAATACGCGTATACACCTACCTGAAAAAAGTACATACCCCTCAAAGACGGCTTCGACACTACCTTTCACTCTTGCGGCTACATCCTTCCATCCAACGTGTAGTATCCACCAGCTAAGTGTCAAGAACCGCATCTCAGCATCGTCTGATACGCCTTCCACCTCTTCATCCCAGTCCTCTTGGCCTGCAGACCATGCTGGCCATATCATCTCCACGTCAACAACACGAGATACAGCCTCACGGAAGATAAGACCAGAGAGTGTAGGTGCTGCCTCGCGGATGCGTTCAGCGCGTTCAGCGGAAAGGACCGAGGTTATGTAGCGTTCACGTGCTAGAAGAGCCAGCTGTATGCTCGTGAGGAGGGACAGCAAAGTGGTTGTATAGAGTGTCGTCAGTGTACGTGTCAATGCTGATATATTGTGTGAGCAAATTGTAAGGGATACTGGATATGACAATGTACTTAATATTTTTACTTCCTTCCATAATTGTGCTTTCGTTCGGGTGCTGCTTTCACTCATGGAGGAAGCCATGGAAGCCTTTGGTTCCTAGTTTGCGCATAAATAGAGTTTTTCAATTCCGGATCCGAGAAGCTCACATGAAAAGGGGCACCAGGGTTGTAGCTCAGTGAGGAACTAGCGGTGGTAATTGAGTCAGATAGTTGACTACCAGCAGAGGCAAGGAACTCGTGAGGTAGCTGTAGCTGCTCGCTTGCACTCTTGTGCGATGAGCTCGAAAAGCGATCGACCCAACTGCCTGTTGAAGCTGCCATATTCGATGATGTTTCTCCATCAATGCCTGAATAGGACGACAATGACACAGACCCAGCATCCGAGCGCATATCTGAGGTGGAGCTAACTTCGGATTCGGAATGAGACTCTGGATGTTGAAAGCGAGATTGAGGACGGGACATGCGTGACAGAGATTGAAGCTCGTTGGTAAGTGACTCCACATCCATCTCCTCGAGGATTTGCTCAGCCAGTGTAGGAATAAGTGCCATAACAGTAAAACACGCATCATCATGAGTACTCTGAAAGCGTCTTCGAAGTCTAATAACAATGAATGAGCAGGTAAATCAGTAACCTTTGACAACGTCGGCGAACATACGCCTCTCGAGCAGCTCTGCCTCTGACAACCTTTTCTTTGACTTCCTCTAGTCTCTCGTTAACATAACAGCTCACAGCATAGGCTCCACATAGAACAACCGATGTCCCAAATAGCCCACGACGCCGGTCGTACACGTATTTCCTTGCAGCGTCGAACATGAGGTCACTTGAAGGAGGAAAGTCAATGGATGATGTAAGCATTGGGCTAGTCCTCGTGACTGAGTCTTTTGTTGCAAGCGCAGAGATGATCATAATTCCATTCTGACTTATCTCCGCAACATCGTATATACGTATGGTTGGAGTCCAACACCTCCAACACCTTGCAGGCGCTTAATATTGGCACTGAAGCTAATTTCAAATTTTGATTGAACAGCAATTCATTATGGTGGTGTAACACTGGTGTTCATTGAACCCACGAGGCTTTTGATGTTCAAAGCTTACAACCGTGACCAGACCAATACGCCGTATGTACTTCAATGTCATGTTATATTCAGTGTTCGAGATGTCCCTCTATTACAAGTTCTCCATTGCTCAAGCGGCAGGGAATTTTGTTCAGAAGTAACATTTCGGCCAATCAGCAACGAACTACTTTATATCAACCACGCTGTGCGGCATCATCGCAAAATCGGGAACACGACTTACTGCTGCGTCTTGCGACTTAGATTTGATGTAAATGCTTGACATTTATGAATGAATCCTATCGAGGTCTGTGAGTGTTGGAGAAATTGTGCAAAGCAAACTATTCATACTCGCTCTTCTCAGGTTCTAGTGTCCTCATCAACACGAGAGGCCCTGCGGCAGTCAGGGGCTCCGCATATAATATCGTCATCCGCGCTGACAGACAAAGATGCTATCAAAGCAGTAACAATAGCAAGGATAAAGAAACGCATTGTGATATTTGGTATGGGGAGTAACAAATACGAAGGGAAACATTGCTGGCTTTTATGTCCTGACACTAGCATTCTGGGCACGACTTCATGGTGGATTTAGGCAGAACGTACTATCCGAAGAGACGTCATTTGCGTGCCAGCGGATCTCGAACCTGATATCGACCACAGCTGTACGTGTTTGCGATTTGTCGTGCATGTGAGCTAAAAATTCCCGTACCGTAGGATGCTGGACTTTTATACACGACCGATGTTACTGGCTCTCACTGTGACAGTGTTGTGCAGAACTTTGCAGAGCCATGTTCCGCCAGTGTAGCAGGTGGCAGAATTAAGGGGAAAAAATCGATGGGAGTCCAAGTATGCTAATTAGACCACTAGATAGCGAGTCCGAGTCCTCGCATTGTGGTTCCGTGGCCATTATATCGTCTACCAATAGGCTGCCGGCACTAGTCCCTTGTCAGCATGCGGTGATTTCGCAAAGTCGAACGTCCTCCCTTCTAATACTTCCGTCCCATACACTCCAAGGCAAATTACGATTCTCCATGCATTAACTCTTTTCCCATTACGGATGTCTTTTGGTCATTGGTGGTGTTTTGGCCAGAAGTCCGCTATTCCAGCCGGTTCTGCCAGACCGGTTTAAGTAGATACAGCAGAATGTCAAACTACAAGGTATGGTGTTCTAATAACCCATCTAGAAAATATGCAAGAAAGACGATGGCGATAGGGGGAGCAAAAGGCCACACTGCTCATTAACAACCTCAAAGCATATAGCGATTAACCTGCAGGCCATTTTCAGGTGGAAAAGCTGATGGATTAGGATGGTGGGAAGCCTTTCATCAGCGCTGGCAGACAGACATCCTTTGAAATCACTTGCAACCACTCTCTTATGACTACTCTCTTATCCATTGTTCTCCATTTCACCGACGTCGAACGCCTCTGCTCGTATATCGGTAGCGCTCAGTCTTCAGTCTATCAAGCGCTGCAATTTCTTGGTAGACACATTCAAAGCACTGGCAAAGATTTAAGCGAGTCTTTATTACCATAATAATCATCAGAAGGCCATGGCTAATGGAAAGCCAATTCGCCAATGTCATGCGTTTTGTCCAACCCACGAAGCTTTTGATGTTCAAACTCACAAGTCACAACAAGATCGGTAATACTCATGTCGTAAGTACTTCGGTCACATATCATGTGTTCAAATCAAGATCATATATCGAGTGTTCGTTCTTCTAATGCCTCCATTGCTCAAGCGGCACTGAATTTGTCCAAAAGCAAGCATCTCGGTCAAACCAGAAATGAGCTGCTTGAGTATCGTGCATCAACCACACTGTACCAAAGCGTTACCAGAGAAACGACTCACTGTTGCGACTTGCCACTCCGGCTTGGTTTATGACGTATCAACACAAATAAATATATATGAGTCCTACAACGCCAGTGAGCCTTGAGGAATACTGAATGCGAGCTACTCATACTCACACTACTGGCGATGTATATCGCCTTACATGTCTGACCAAGGCAGCAATCTTGAGTCGTTGCGCACTGATTTGGGCATGCACTGACAAATGCAGACGCTGTCAAAGCAGCCACAGCGGCGAAGACGAAGGAAAAATGCATGGTGCGATGCGACACAGGATCAATAAATGTGGGTGGGAACAGTAGGAAGACTACTGCTTTATGAGTGTCGCGTTCAGGACTCCATGACATATCCAAATAGACGTAATTTGCATGCCAGCAGACCTCGAATTTGACTTGCTCTGTCACCGATATCATGAGCGTAGGAATTTGCAGGCTGCCGTGCTCTGGAGTTGAATCCTCTCACCATTCATAGAGTCTTAAAGCTCTCCAAATCCAAATTGAAAACGGTGTGGCCACCGCATCACCCAGCACAGTCTCGTCGATCATGATGTGATGATCGCTCACCTTAGTGAATTCAGTCGTACGCCAGCTGGTGTTCACAAGGTCTGTCTCTAATTTAGTAAGACTATTGTTGTCTGTTGATATTTTCTTTTCGGTCGACACGTCAAGAAGGTTCTAAATTTCCCATTCCCTGAGAAACTGGTGGAAAATCTATCGATAATCACACTGCAGAACAGTGAAGTCAATTTTTTGGTGGTGATAAACTGATACCGATTGTAAGGGCTGCCGACGCGCCTTCTTCATACACAGCACACGGCGTGCATACCACTACGATGCCAAATTGGCCAGAAGTGTGCGGAAAAAATGAGTGTTAGCGAAATACCAACGAGGGCGGATAAGAATGAAATAAACGAACGGTTGTCCCAGTCGATAGGTTACACTGTCGATACTGAAAGAGATTTAATGCTGCTTGCAGATGGTTGCATGATCATTAGAATTTCAGTACGAAACCAGTCATGTAATAATTGCACCGCTTATGATCTACTGTGAACACACTAACCCGTGAGGTTCCACCAAGTCGGCTGATGTGCTGATTATTGCGAGAGTTGCCAACAGATCCTCGTTCCTCGAGATGAACCTGCACTTGGAAGTTTTTCCGTGCCTTTGGGTGTGTAAGAATGTGTTTTATCAAGCTCGACGAAGGACGAATTACCAGAGTGCACCAACATTCTCAAACTCTACAAGAAGTATGATTTCTTCCCCTAACTCATCGAGTTGTTTGACGATCGTACACGCAGCAAGGATACAAGAGATGAAGGTACAACGAGGCTTTGGCAGAATGCAACCTTGAAACAAGATGCCACCGTCCAATGGCAGTTTGTATATCGATGGTGTCATGTAAATGACACGCATTAGGGCATCTACGGCACTCAAACCCAAATATGAACCCGCGGGGCTCCAATCAAGGCGGCAAGAGACCGAGGAAGCGCTCAGGCCTGAACTCCGAGGTACGTCTCATTCAAATCTTGTGAAATGGAAAGAATGTTTACGATGACGATCGCACCCTTAAGTACGCTGCACCCTTCGTAGACGTCTTCCCTCATTACGTGACGTGGGAGCCCTGCGTCGTTGAGAGTGAGCAGGAACTAGGACGAAAATGCACCTCTGAGGTCGACGTACAGAAGCTTCTCTCTGTCCTCAAACGCGGGAAATTGGTCCTGACCCACGACAGCATCGATTTCTGCCTGTACACATTTCTGTATCTCGGGATAAAGCAGCATCGCCAGAATGAAAGACGTCAAGAATGATGCTATTTGTTCATGTCAATGATTGTTTAAAATTCACACGAGGTAGGGTGCAAAAGATAACTTACGGTGTCGGCTCCGCATAGATCCACTATGTACTACACCACGAGGTAATATTAATATCTTCTTGTTTGGGGCAGACTGTACACACATCCTCTGGAAGAATCTGTTCTGAAATGGAGGAATATGCGTATAACTGTCACTTGCGGCGACAATGGATTAGGCATCTGGCAGCCCGAGCACGTACCGATTTTTAGGCAGCAGTGTCAGGGCTACGGGTCCGAGAGGCACAGAATCATCTACATATCCGGCAGTCGTCCCGCACTAACTCCGCGTTAATTCATTGGCCAGGAAGATTTCGAGCACGCCCTTCACCTCGTATTATTTCCTACCCTTGAAAACACTTGACACTATGATCACATCGGTGCGCATCGCCTTTCTTACTCCTTTCGAGATCACCATATCAATCTCTAGGGCTTTCCGTACCCATCAATGGTTCAATCTCCCTCGGAGTAGCGAATGAAGTCAAGGATGAATTTTCGGCCACCAAGGTCACCTTGTAGCAAGCGAACGCTTGTATCCCCTAGATCACATCTTGTGCATAAGGAACCACTTCAACAGATATCTAGCGACTTTGTTGTACAAGAAAACAATCTAGGATCTTCCACATCGGGTCCGAACGATGTGCTCATTCATCTGATATGGGCGCTTGAACTCCTTTCCGCAGCCTGCACAGACAGCCTTAATCTTCCCCTCATGCACCTCTTTGACGTGACGACCGAGATTATCCTTCTTGATGAGTGCCGAGCACCCGTACCGGGTGCATTTTACTTTGTCCTTTACTTGGATGGGGACAGACAGTTGCGCAGCGGGCTCATAGACGGAATCCAATGCGCCACAGAGCGATAAATCTAGGGATACATTGTAAGTGTCTTGACGAAAAGCTGTTAAATGATAGTGAACTGACCGTGGCGATGATCCTCACCCTCTAACGACGATGCCGTGACACGCGGATCATAGAATGCTGAACAGGCCTCAGAGTACATGCTGTACCGAGGCTGAGTTAGGGGATGTTGAACAATCGGCCCATAGTCGGAAAAAGTGCAAGCGCCGTGGGGCAATATCGCTGTACACAGTAAGTGTTTAAATGAAAATTTTGGCTGCAAATACAGCAACTTACCTTGGGGGGGACCTGTACCCTCTGACAGCGGTCCCGTGACCCCGAACGGTGTTCCATGGGGTGCAAACTGTGGCACGAAGCAGCGGTCGTGCGAAGGTCCAAATGGTGCAATGGTATTGAGGCTATTGAGTGCAGCTTGGGAGTCGACGGTGCTATCACGTCCACCCGAATTCTCCATTGTGACATCTGACTGGTAGTTGCCAAGGAGATTCGTCAAGACGCTGCGGATCTGCTGGATTTCCTCATGGACACGACGCTCTAAGCTGTCGAGACGGTCGAGGCGCTGGAGACATGACTCCAGGACTAGTCTCGTTGAATGTTGGTCAGGGGCCTGCCCTGGCCATGAGGACAATGAGTTTTGTAGTGTTGATCTGGATGAAATTATGGTGCGCTCGTGTCTTTTTCTACGATGTGTGCGTAAGTTATCCATCTGTAGACCCTAGGCGACAAGTAAAACAGTGCAAATGCAAGAGAATTCTGTTATCCTTTGCGAAAGTTGGGAAATTGAACACAAAATGAAACATTGCCCCGACACCTTTATATTACATGTCCATAACGCGTCTGGCAGGCGTAATCTGGATTACTCCGAGTAAGCGCTTCCAACTAGCAATCCGGTTGCCTCGTGTTGTATGGAATAATTGGTTAGTCTTCCACGAAATGAATTATTGCTTGCCACCTTGAATCTTATCACGAATTCAGATCGTTTTCCTGCCATGCGCAGCCCGCTTGCTTCTAGGCGACGGTCAAAGATGTGGGTGAAACAACCGTGCGCTATGTCACTGGACGACTCCATCGCAGCGACTTCCTCCAGAAATTCTGAACCAAGACCTACATTGTGAGAAGAAGGCATCATTTATTCCGCATTCCATCAGCGCAATCACGCTAGATTCCACTGGCGCCAGTTGGTTCACCGTGTGGTCTCTACCGTAATGCCACCCGCCATAAAAATTACTTCCCCTTGGCATTTCAATTAACTTCGCTGGGCGTCTCTCATCACGATGTACAGCCAACTCTGCTTTGTAGTACGTACTTTGAATAAAAAACGTTTTTATCCTCACCAATACTTCCCTCGTCATGCATGTCATTAATTGTGGTGTCTTTCCGGATCCCAACAGATGTATATCTGTACAGTGCCTCGAGTTATGCTTTATTTTTGTATGGACTCATTCCCCGCCTTGAGAAGTATCATATATTAACAGATAGGCTGACGCCGGCACGTAATATCGGTTGGACGCCCATACTACCATTCCGCCGTTGCGACAATAGACGTGAGAAGGTTCACTAGGCATACTGCACTTTGCCTACACCTAGGAGATCTGGAATATAAGTGCCATTTCGTGAGAGTGGAATTTAGCTTACTTTGATCCAATTCAAAAACGACGCAATTACGGGATTGGAGACCAGCAGAAGCTTTTACGATGGTTATGAGGTGCTGTCGTATTTGGCAAGAATTGACGCCAGGATGATCCGTCGTGCATCTACAAAGACAAAAATAACTGGTATTGAACCAAACGGATAGGTAATACCACATACAAGAATGACATCGTGTTTGCAGTGCCAGTCTCCACTCGTCCGAGTCCATCGACATCTGTAAATATTTTCCGATGTTATGTTAGTACTAGTGCGTATTCTTAAACTGGGAAAGGAGGAAGTTGTATATGAATGCTAGTGCGCGGAGACTGAGGGGGGGCCAACGAGCAGGAAGCATCAATCACCAATGGGCGTCGTACTGAAAGTAATATCCGATTTCAAGTCAGGCAATCGCCGAAGCCACATACTAGAAGATGCGCCAAGAACCACCTCCTTCTGAGTTCCCGGCCAGGAGCGGGGCCAAGTTTATTTCCGTTTGCCATGGCATATGCGCATATGCACTGTCTCATGCTCACAGCAAGCCGCATCGTAAATTCAAATTGGGGTGATCTGCTTATCCGTGTTACGGTGGCGTGGAACCATGACGATGGCAGCGCAAGAGAGATTGTTATCATCCATGACGTGAAATAAAACGTTGTCTGCGCAAGGAGTACTTACTACTTATGTAATTAGGGCCTGACATGGGTTGACCCGGGTCAACGTAGTAGAGCTCGCCTAATCGTGCACTTTCATGCACCGGCAGTACTTGAAGCTTGACTCACCCAGGCATACCCGCTTTCCTTCTTCACGCCAGTTTGTTAACTGCTTCGCAATATTCCGAGCCGCCTTCATTTCCGAACCATCATACGGCCATCATTTACCTACCACTATTCTGCAGGCGCCGGTCTTCGCTGACCGTTCACGAATCATACGAGTTCCTGTTCGCGGACCGCCCTTAGTATGCACATGGTCTTCCTCAGCTCGTGGGCTGATGTAGGTTGAACTTGGGTACGTCTCATACGCTTCAGCCACCTCATTCACAACATATCTTTTTGCTTGATGTCTGCAGTCGGAGCCGCTGCCTTCCATCTTATCAACATTACAGCATTACAACTTATCACCGTTAACGACATCCGCAGAACAATCAAGATGTCCACTTCCATAAGCGCCAATGCATGAACGCAACTACCATGGACAGTATCCGCATGGAGACCTTTCTATCCACCCTCAAGGTCAGGTCCCTCTTTTTTCCGTCGAGTACCTTCGACTAGAACCATTATGCAACCTTGCAACAGCTTATCGTGTCGCCCACCCGTCCCAACTACCTTTCAATAGTTAACTGGTCACGCATTTCTCGGTGGCCATGAGCTCTCTGGCAGTCCCAACTTCTTCGACATTCTTCGACACGCTCTAGTCACACCACCGGGTCAAACTGCTGGATAGCTGTCACCTCGACAGGGTTACATCCATCTGAGCTCAAGAATCTGGTCTGACATGCTGACAGGCACATGCAAAATTGATCACTCCCTGTTATTTACGCTGACAGATTCGGGTATCATGCTCCTGCCGATGATTGTCTAGCGCTGCCGGTGGGAGGAGGGGCAGGAGCAGAGGCGCCACTCGGATGTCGAGCAGTGCGAATTCCTAGAAACACTTACAGAGCCATTTTTGTATTTCTACCTCAATCCGATTCATTTTCACTTATATGAATATTCATCCACAAAGCAGATTTGCATATCATCGTAACCAGGTCCGGCTTAGAGCGCAAATATCTAACCCACTCCTTACTCACCCCTGCCCATCATCACTAACCACCCTCCGAGTTTGGGTTCAAATGGTCACCTTTTTCTACTCTGGCTTATAGAGATTTGCACATTTGGCACTCATCGCATATGGTACGGTATACCAATACTTACTAACGCTGACTCTGCGACAGTCCTATCGGGTTGTGTTCAAGTTGGCGCAGCAAATGCAAATGCATACTGAGCAATCAATTAATTATGGTTCAAACGTTTTGAATGTTCATGAAACCCATATCATATCCAACATTGAATGTTGAACACATGTATTAACACGCGGAATCTCGGTTCCGGAGAGTTCTCCGTGCACTGATGATTTTGATACTCCGTCCAAACTCCGTCCAAACACTTTCAAGTCGACCGGTGGCTGGCACTAAATGATTCATCTTTGCGCAAATCACATCCCTTCCTTGGTCATGTGCCTTTTGGAGTTGAGTATCACCGTGGATCACAGACGGATCACAGATCGTCGCCAGCATGCTTCAACTCAGCGGTACGCTCTCCCTCCGTGTTGATTTACCTGTACAAGAACATATTGAATCTTATTTGTATTGGTTAAGTTCCTGTGCTCTTGAGAACTCCATACCTAGGTGCTCTCACCACTTTACTTTTGACAAATCTACTCGAGATCAGTACTTTCTCCATTCGGCCCGACAGATATGGTCCCTCAGCATATAAGGGCGCGCGAACTTCTTTCCACAACCAACGCAGACAGCCTTGACTTTACGCCGATGCACTTCATTCACATGACGAGTGAGGCCACCCTTCTTGACAGCTCTTGAGCATTCGGGCCAGATGCAATTTACTTTATGTTGGCTCGGGCTGTCCTGCGCAATGGGAAGACGTGGTTGTTGGCCGTGACTTGTTGAAGACTCGGACAAGGTCTTCCCATCGGAGTACGTGTCATACTGAGGCAGGAGCCCGAGTACACCAAGCCCATAGCTGACGACACCAGGGGTGCCATCGGGCAACAGGTCTGGTCATACACGGTAAGCATTCTAAGGAAAGGTTGTGCATATTGCGAACTTACTTTGGGGAATTGTACCCATGGAAAGACCCTCCTGCAGGGTACTAGTACCAAATCCTAAAGGACCGTACTTAAGGTCTGAAAATTGTCCTTGGAATACTAGTGGCTCTGCCAAGACGGAGAACTCTGGTGGAGTCAACGACGATGAAACGGCATTGAGCTCATCGAACGCAAGTGGCACGATGGTCTGAGGCTCATCATTGACGATTGCCTGGGAGTACATGTCACTATTCAATGTGCCTTCACCCCCCACTGTGGTGATTTCTGATTGACTGGTGACAAGCAGCTCTGTAATGCGGGTGCGGATTTCCAGAAATTCCTTGTAAACACAATCCATCCTATCATGGACTCGGTCAAGACATCCGAGACACGATTGCAGGCTTGATCTCGTTGAATCTTGATCAGGGACATCCCCCAACCATGAAGACGACGTCAACTGGGGGGTTGCTAGTGACGATTCAGGCCTTGAATGTACGTCCATGGTAAGCTCGTGCTCTGATCTCGAATCTAAGAAGCGTAGAACGACTTCACCTTTGCAGATACATGCTCGTTTTAAAATCTTGAGTTGCGGGTTCTGGATGGCACGGGAAGTTGTATGAATGTAAGAGAATGCAAGATTGTTGCCTTTTTATTCCCATTATTCTGCAAACTGAATTTTGATCATAACACCATGGCAGTCAACGTAACCCAATACTGCGCACGGCTACTCCTCTCAAGCCTAAAATGGAACGTGTCGAAACCTTGACTGGTCACGTAAATTTACACCGTGCTCGCAAAAATCTTGGTGGCAGTCTTGAGCTCAGGGCGGGCCCGCACAGCGAAAGACACGGGCACAAATAGAAAAGGAACCTGGATCGACTTCCTGTTGTAGTTATCAAATTCATGGTACTTCTTCATATTATCCATGGCGCTCATAAAGGGCCATGTGTCATTAAGTCAGAAACTAATATTGTGTGTGATGTTTCTAGGCAAGAGCCATGTGATAGGAATCTAGTATGGTCGGCCGTCACCCGAACGGCCAGCCCTTCCAAAAGTTCAATTTGAATAACCGATGACCCTATGCTACGTGTTACTGTATAAGGCTATTGTGGACAGTATGGTTACTGGGTCGACATGTCAACATACGAACATTTCAAATGCGCTGCCCAAACCTTGTAACTATCTATGAGCGCGAAACGGTTGATTCCGCAGAACCAATTCGCGTCCCCCCATTGCGTGTTCCACCTGAGCTCCACGTGTACTCTCGTAAGTACTCATCTCGCAACTGTATGCAATCAGCCATGACATCAAACTCGTTCCCATCTTCACTGGCGACGTCACACGACTGTATGTCTGCATACAATGTTTGATACACTAACATTCAGAACTGCATAAGCAGAACCGGTCCATTACTAAACCGATAGTCGAAATTCAGGTCCAACAGAAACCACATAATTGTAGACTCATCAGTCAGAGACTTAAGTTCATACAGGAAGCAGATGCCGAGATGAATCAGTGCCGTGAAGCCCAATCCGACAGATCGTACATACTGAGCAACAATCTTAACGTAATGGCATCCGGGCCGCCATGGACTGATTTGCGCAGTGCAGTGCACTTAAAACGGCGAGTCTGATCAATCCATTCCAATCAGTGAGTGAGGTTACGAGGAAAGCCACGATACTGCAATAGATCAACCGAGACCCTGGATTGAAATTCTCCTAAACCGTTCCGACAAACCCGCCTGAAACTTCGGAGTGCATAGTACAGTCCGAATTACGTTGGCTGTCAGGGGTATAAGTTACCTCGGCTTACCAATTCAGATTCATGCGTTTTCAGCGTCCAGAATTTGAAAAAAAATTACGCCGCATAGAATCAGGATGATCACATGAGCTTACCAGGAATTTACATTCGAGGTCCGGATTGAAACCTGCAGAGACCGTTTTCGCGGTTAGAGCATGTTGCTGACAAGACTCAATGGAATCAATCGCGGCTTTGCATTTGAGGAATAGATGACTGTACTCACGTAGGAATGTCCTGTCTCGAATGATTCTCGGCATCCACACCCTTGCTATTCCATCGTTTAGCAAATTCACTCACCACCAACCCTACATCTCGAGACCAGCAACAATTCACCAACGTTCCAGGCGAACACCTTCCCTCTCTCAGTATATCATATTCTTCTCCCAACTACCCACATCTTCCGGTCAGGGGACAACATCGTGCTTATTTACGGTGCGCCTTCCCCGTCTCGCCAGTCTTACCCTATCTGGCCACCACTACTCAAGTTCCATGCTCGCAGGTCGCCGAATGAACAAGCGATGATCCGATGTTCGCCTGGCAGGTCCAAATTTCTGGCAGGGCGTTTGAAATCCCATCAGGCGCTGCGGTACGTGATTGTTACCCAACGTGTGCAACTCAAAACGTGTCGAACCAATGTTGGCCCAAAACAGTGGCTTGCGGCGTCCAGCGGGTTTATGTAAGTGGTGTGGCCGACAAATAGCACGAGGTGCATATCCTTCAGAGGATAACCAAAGCAGCCCGATACGAACGGGTCAGAAGTTAAACTTCATTTCAAAGCCAGTGATAATGGATACTGCCGTGACTACGCACGCGTGAAAATTGACTCATCGGCATCCAGGACTCTCCAGATAAGTCGGGTAGTCAAGGAAGGACAAAACCGCCAAGTCGTAATTTGAAGATGAGGCCCTGGTAGATTCAAGATTACGACAAATTGTGTGGCAGGTGCATCTTCTACTAGTAGTATGAAGTCGGCGCCGTCGAGGAAGGAAATTTCCTGCGAATAGATCCCGAAAGATTGGCAGATTCCTTTGAAGGTCAATGGGCGACTCTACTTTAAGTTTCGGGTTTAAACCTGAGAGTACTTGGTGTAATGGGGTGATGAGGCAAAATCAGGAACGTACCGGTGCTTGTAACGTTCTTCGTGCAGGTGAGCTAATTGGGTGAGAAATTTTTTCACATGTACCATTTTACTTACAGCAGACAAGTATGTGGTGCCGGCAATTCCAACTCGTGTTGGGGGCCCCATTGATGGAAAACGGTATGTCTTCCCGAACACGTACTATGATCAATGCGTCAGCAAGCCATCCGGGCAGCACAGACGCACCGCTGATATCTTATCTCATGGTCCACTTTCAAGGTATCTTCACCCAACAATTCTCTCGAGGATCGCTCCGATAGATTTTCATCGAGAACTTGAGTTGTGTGTGGGGTCAGCAGACGTCGGTCCCCTGTTAGTCTTCAGGTCCATCATCCCTGCCCAATTTCCATGTGGACAGGGCCAAAGAAGTTGTTACTCGTAACAGAGCATGACTTGGAGAAATCAAAGTGGTAAGTAACCGAGCACTGCTTGCCCTAAAGTAGATCTAAGATCTTAATCTTATGAATATCTTCTGCCTCTACTGACAGTCTCCTGTGAAGCCTTCGTTCTCGCCCCCTCCATCGTTTCAGCACCAAAAAAAACATGCTTGTTGGCTAAAATATTTATCCAGTCCACATGATTTAACGTGATTGACATGATTATTACATTACCTTCATGAGCGCTGACACATGGTCACCCACAAGTTCAAGTTCGTTCAACCATGTTACGTCGTAAGGGCGGTGGGCTGGAGCAGGCACAAAATACATTGGAGGGGTGAGAGAGGTATCGGAGACCGAAGGATCCGAGATACCGGGTACTAGACTCATCCAAAAGAGTCGTTAGCGGTGGCGATGCATTGATATCGCCTCCGAGTCATTCCATGTTCTAGACTCAGGTATGTTCCACTTACTATATATAGAGACCCAACAGTAAAACAGTCGCGCATCTCAGTTCTCTTCCAAGACAGAGATGCAAGTCTATATACCTGTCACACGACGAGCTACAGATATTTAACGAGTCGTAGCAGACACTGAGATCCTACTTGTTCTATAGCTCGTTTTGTCCTCTCCCGCTGCGGCCTGCCTCCATAGTCGACCAAGGTCCAAATCATTTCAAGTTCTTGTTAGATGTGCGACGCACATTGCTTGGTGGGTGATCCTTTTCGTAGTGGTACTTACATAGTTGCAAACAAGCGTTGTACTGTCAAAAGTCCCCTCTGCCAAATCAATTCCGAAGGTCCCGATCACTAAAACATGCTATTCATACTCCCATATATCTAACAACTACGGTGCAGATCAAAACCCCATACATACATACTGTAACATCTGATATCTAATGATTATCCAATCCTAGCCCTCGCATAAATGCAATGTCAATCTAAACATGAATGTCAGACGACGCATAACGATAGCAATGTGTGTTCAACAAAACTTATTTCTCGAGAGATGGTACGTGTCCTGATATACTGACGATGAGAAGACATCTAGGCTGTGATCCCAAGACTAGATAGTTCCTTGCGGATCTCAGCTTCACCCTCCATTTTTTTGAGCTGCGTCGCTTCCAGTCGCTCTCCGCGGTTCGCCTTCTCCTTGAGTTCATCAATGGCCTTCAGCTGTAAGTCAATGGCCATCAACACAATGCAACGACGACAACCAGAAAAGAAAACACCAACCTTCTTATTAAGATTCCGAACCTTCTTCGCGACAGGGTCCAATGATTCTGCTCCCGGCGTTGGTGGAACGGAACCTTGGCCAGGTGTCTGCGTCCCTACTACGGTCACATCAATAGACGGTCGCACAGACGCCTCCCCAGTAGGCGTCGCAGCTCCCGAGCCCGCTTCCCCAGTTCCTTTCTCTTTCTTCTTCCCCTTTTTCTTCGGCTTCTTTTCACCACCCTCTGCCCCGGGCACAGGCGCAGTCGAGGGCGTCTTGGGTGCGGCACCAGGTACATGCCTCCTTCCCCCATTCCCATTCTGGTAGTGGCCATTTCCGTTCGAAGGCGTGGCTCCATTAGCATGGCCCATGCTACCGGGAGGATTCGGTGAACGGTTGTAGCCCCGTGGAGGTGTTGCGCTGCCGCTGCCGGTGGGCATACGAGGAGCACCGCCCTCATCCTCGCGCTTGAAGATCGCTGGTGTTGCAAGGCCACGTGCACCGGGCGGCCTGTAAGCTCCTGCAGCTTTAGGTGTAACGGGTTTAGCGGTCAGAGCCGCAGTCAATACACTGATTGAGGGCTGGGGTGCGGCAGGGATAGTTGCACCAAACGGAGGTGCTTGATCGAGTGGTGTAGGTCTCCACGATGCCTGATATAATTCGTCTACCAGCTGGACGTGCATAAGTCCACTAGTGCAATGCCATATCTTGATTCCGTTGTCCACACGAAGACGAGGAGACAGGGTAGCTGTCAAAAGGAACCTGCCGCAAGGCGACCATTCGCAATAAGAGGTGTTTGGTGCGTCGATGGTACAAATCTTCGTCAACGTTCTTCTGTCGAAGATGTCGATTTTTCCTGCCAGGTTGCCAAAGCCGGCAAGCGCGACGAGACGACCTTGTGGATTGAAAGAGATGAAGTTATGAGGAGAGGATCCAAAATCGTGAAGCGTCCGCACACGTTGATCAAAGAGTGTAGTTTTAGCAGGCATATCTAATAAGAAAACTTGTTAGTAATGACTTCCATGATCTAGGGAGACAACTAACATCCATAGACAACGCCAAATTCTTTCGAGTTTGGGCTCCACGAGACGTCATGGATCGGTCCCTCCTTGTCCAGGGTGACGCGACAGTCGAAATTACCTGCCGCGCTGAGGAGGTACATACCAGTCTCGCCATAGTAGCTCATGTTTGAGTTATCAACCTCCGTTTGTGTAAGGACTAGTGCCTGTGTGCCAAGATCGTTCCACTTTATCTGGGCGCGATCAGCCTTGTAGAAAGTTTTAGAGCAAGTCGGAGCGCCAGAAAGGGTGGATAGGCCGTAGATCTTGACAACCGCAGGGGCGCCCTGAGAAGAGTAAACTTAGTATAAGAATGTATGTAACATGGAGAGAAAAGGATTATACCTTCTTCTCAGCAACAAACACCGCAACGGATGGATTCAGTCCAGGACTCAAGGAGACCATGGATGCGCCTTCGACGCGCAGCTTATCGGCAATGCCCTTCCCCCATTCAGCAGGACGGTAGACCTGGATCTCCTGAGCAACAAGACGAATGGCATGCGACTCAGACATGGTGTACTGAAGGTCCCAGTTCTCCTGCGACTTTTGCGTGAATGAGATGAGCTCCTCGCCGGTAGACGCGGAGAAGACGCGGAGGTTCTTGTGCTGGGCGCCATCTTCCAGCTTGACTGCGGGGAGGCGTGTGAGTGGGATTTTACCGAGACCCTCGACGACAGACACGAGGCGTACCTGGCCGCTCCCATGTAGAGAGGTATGTTCCGCGCGGAGAGAACTTGAGTTCGATGATATTTGGAACACTCAGTTCTTGAATCAGCTGGGCACCTTCGGCTAGAAAGATCCGCACACTGCGAGGATCAAATTGAGTCAGCCAGGTGATTTGCGCGAGCACGAAGTAAACCGTACACAGTTGGTAGCGCGTATGCAAAGAGGCGACCATCGGGGCTGTAGTGGTATGTGCGAGCTGGGACATCGGGGACGGCGAATCCCTCTATTGGCATGTATGTGGGCGTGCCGCCGACGAGGCCCATGCTCTTCTGTGCGCGGACTACAAGATCCCAATTACGTTAGATCAAAAAACAAACTGGATGGATAAATGTTTGAACGAACAAGCATATTGCTGGGAGAGCTGGGAGGCCATTTTTTTGTGCTGAGAAGATGGAGGGGGCGAGAACGAAGCAAGTGAATGCTTCACAGGAGACTGTCGGTGGAGGCAGAAGATCGAGGATGTAAAGTATAATCAATGCACAGCTGAATTCAAACAAGATCTACTTTAGGGCAAGCAGTGCTCGGTTACTTACAAGTTTGCCTTGAGGCCCTTCTGGGCCATGTGCATGCCGCCTCTCACTATTATGTATGTTACTCGTAACAACGTTAACCGTCTTTGGCGCTGTTCGCATGGAAATCGGACAGGGCTGATGCGGCCTGAAGCTTGAAAACCAACAGGGCGTGTCCAGTGAGCTGACCCACAAAATAACTCAAGCTCGATGAAAATCTTTCGCAGCAATCCTCGATAGGATTCAATTCAATTGGTTGAAGCTTCCATCCGACATTCTTCTCGAGGAAGGTCCAAATATTAGAGTCATGCTGGATTCAAGTACTTTTTTTCACTCGGGCTCTCATACATGCGAAGATTGAAAGTGGACCATGGCAGCAATATCTATCAATTATCCCGAATCTTTAGTGGTGCGTCTGTGCCAGCCGGATGACACGCTGACGCATTTATAACACGTTTTCAGGGAGATATGCCATTTTTCACGAATGGGGCCTCCCCAACACGAGTTGGAACTGCCGGCATCACATCTCGGTTGTAAGTAAAACCCGAACAGACGGCGGACGCTCAGATTGCACTCTTTGGTTGCGCGATATTCGTTCAGTGTGTCACGCCGGTATCCGTTCTTTCAGCCTTTCGTACATGCACCATTAGATCTTTGCTCACCCAATTAGCTTACCCACATGAAGAACGTTGCACGCACCGGTACATCCCTGATTTTACCCCATCACCCCATTACATCACTCAGGTTCGAAACCCGTAACTTAAAGTGGAGTCACCGTTGGCCTTCAAAAGATCTGTCAAACTTTCGATCTATCCGAAGGAAAACCCCTCTCTGACGGTGACTTCAGAAGATGGCAGCCACCACATAATTCGCGTAATTTTGAATCTATCAGGGCCCCCATCTTCAAGTTACGACTCGGCCGTCTCCAAACTTCTGATGCGCCGCGGCTGTTTCTACCCGACTTCTCTGGGGAGTCATGGATGCCAATGGCAATTTTCACGCGTATGTAGTCACGGCAGTGTACATTAACAAATGAAGCTTAACTTCTGACCGTTCATCCCACATCCCGTGAAGGACACGTCTCTTTGTCGCGTCGTCTCGGCAGCACCGTTCATTTACATAAAACCGCTAGACGCACCCCTCCGTGTTGGTTCGACGCGTTTTAGTTGCACGTTTCGGGTAACAATCACGTACTGCGGCGCCTAATAGGATGTCAACAATAATATCCTGCGAGAAATTTGGATAATACAGCTCGTCTCACCTTCCAGGCCGTGAACATCGGATCATCGCCTGTTCAAGCGACAACCTGCGAGTATGGAACTTGAACAGTGAAAACCAGATAGGGTAAGACTAGTAAGACAGAGATGGCGCACCGTAAGCAAGCCACGGTGTTGTTTCCTGATGGGAAGATGTGGATATTGGTGATAAGAATGTGGGATACCGAGAGAGGGAAGGTGTTCGCCCAGAACACCGGTAAAAAGTGTTGTTTGGTGGTGAGTGAATTTACTGAAGGATGGAATAGCAAGGGTGTGAGGGCGTAGAGAATCATTCGAGGCAGGACATTCCTACACGTGAGTATAGTCATCGTGACGTAGGCGCAGCGGTGCTCTTCACCACTTTGCCTTGCTCGCAAGTCAATACACAGGCACACAGTCGCGGATACACCGCTCCAACGGTCTCAGCGGGTTGTTTTCGTCAATCCGGACTTCGAATGTAAATTCTCAGTAAGCTCACGTGATCATCCTAATTTTACGCAGTGAACTGAAGCAAGACAACTGAACGCTACATTCTCTGAGCGGAAATTTCTGGAATTAAAATTGGTAACAGTTTATATTAAATTTTACATGCACCATAACCTCATGTACTTGTAAGCATAGGGTCGTCGGCAGCCTTCAACCGGACTTTCCGAGGCTTCGAGCCATGAAACGGCAACATTATCCCATCAATACTAGATAAGTAAGCACGTGTGATCATTGGCAACGAGGTTATGAAGAGAATCACCTTGATACGGCAACCGTTCTTTCAATATTTGTGCCTGTGTCTTCGCCGACTCCACGGAAGAGCGACACTGTAGACCTCGCAACAAAATTGTATGATGTAAGTTTACACGACTAGTCACTGAGGCCTGAGGTATTCACAAGTTCCGCTTTGGGTCTTTACAAGCTCAGACATATATGCGGAGAATTAGTATAGTATCGGGTTACGTCGACTTGCCATGTGCATGGGCCCTAAAATCAAAATTAAGTTTGCAGAATATGAAAGCAACGGTTTATGCCCCTGATCAAGATTCGATAAGCTGCAAGGAGTTCGCGCGCCCGAAGAACTATACCTGTCGGGCCGTTAATCATTGTGTATGTAGATTTCCGTTAGAATTGCACCGCTTAAAGCCCCTTACCTACACGTCATGTGATTTGCCGCTGGCAGCCGAAAAAGGACAATGACCCCCATCATAGAGGAGCAGAAAACGTACTACACCCTTTTCCTTTCCCTCGAAGTCCAACGGAAATTATGGAATCGCGCGATACGGTTCTGGGCGCACAAATCGCTTGTTCCCTTCGATTTTCGTTCGACACCATGGAAATGGGCGTTCATCTACTAGTGAACGAGGGAAAGCTCAATCTGACGATAAAGTCGGCGGCGATGGTATGGAAGAAGACCTCGTGGACACTTTCAGTCAGCAGTTCGACACCAGGACATTCTAGGGAGGAATGCTCACACATATCAAGAACATTTGCGCCTCCTGTGACGGCCTTGAGTATCAAATCCGGCTCAATGATTGTAGAATGCTTACCATTCTCGAACGAAACGGTTCAGGTTTCCTTCGGCTTGCAGACAGCTGCCACGAGTTGGTGCATGCCATCCGTGCATGTTGTAGCTGTATTTTCATATCTTCCTTTCAGCTTGAAGCACCTGGCTTCAAATAGAATGCGAACACTCTTCCGATCATATTGTGGTATGCTTTGCTATTCTTGCCTTCGCTGACTTCTCTCACAGGCGCTGATCTTCATCGCCCATTTGCACAGTGCGAAACTTAGTGCTCAATACTGAGACATACTGACAAGCTATACCCAGAATCCGTACCATTCATTGTCCTTTACCCTCCACAAAATTCAGGTGTCAGGTATGTTTGACGCTGTCGCTAACTGCACTCTCTGGTACCAGCCCTGAACGCGCCATTCCTGTGGTAAGTCACACCTAACTGCACTCCAATACCTTCCCGGCCAATCGACTAATTCGATTCCACTACTTACTAGCTCTAGACACATGTTTTGTCACCTTAGCTACCACCAATCAACTGTTTTTGCCTGTTTTTACTGCTCTCTGCGTGATTCCTTTGAAACACTAAAACTACATTCAAAGTGCCAGTGCCGACGCTTTCCAAGCTTCTGGTAATGATACGGGCTCGGGATCTGGAATCGCCAAAAGTTACCCGTCGAGTCCGATTGGGGCTTATACGACTAGACTCACAGCCAAGGTTCTATGTCGGAAATAAACATGGACATGAGGTCACCGCATGTAAAATATCATTGTAAGTCAGGATTTTTAGTACACTATTTAAGAAATGATTACAACATGGACAGGCATCCATGATTCGGTGTTCCTTATCATAAAAGCCTTGAGGGGAAGAATTTGATTCACTATCAGGGTTTGATGACTTCCCAAGGTTGTTCCCGATGGATAAGAAAAGTGCGGTTGGCATTTCGCTAATCTTGTGCATCGTCAAGGTTTACATTAAATGGCGAAGCCCTTCGAGCCCTTCGTCAGCTGCTGTTCATTTCTAGTGAGATCAGAGGATGGAAAATGCGTCATCTGCCGTTACGTTACCTGCCAAACCTGCCAAGCTACGCGCAACCACGCTCAATCTACAGGCAACAAATAGTCGCGAGCCCAAAACACGAATGACTTTCATCCGGTTCTTCATCGGAGTGCTCGGAGGGATCCGGCACCACTCCGACAGCAAGCAAGAGCTTCTCTTCATCGTTTCTTTCCCTTCAAGTTAGCGATACTTCTCGCTCGCTCGATCCTACACACTATCCTTGCTCGTTCTCGTATTTTCCCCCTACCTCCACACCCAGTATTAATATGTTCACCATTTAATATCCGCGCCAGTCAACAGTTATATCTCAATTATGCATTCATACATACTTGGGTTCATTTATCTCATTACAATTTGCAATAGAGCTCATTCAGCACTCCGCCTGACGGCATCCGAACTGAGCGTTGCCGTAGCTCAGTCCCAACTCGTCCAATCGTGTTCAGTTACACGCTTCGGGTAACAATCACGTACCGCAGCGCTGGATGGATGTCAGCAATAACGCCCTGCCAGAAATATGGACAACACAGTTCGTTCCACCTGCCAGGCGAATATCAGATCATCGCGATTTGCCTGTTCAAGAGGCGACCTGCGAGTATGGGACTTGGAGAGTGGTGACCAGATAACCTATAGGATAAAACTAACGAGACGGAGAAGGCGCACCCTAAGTAAGTCACCCGTTGTCTCCTGACGAGAAGATGTGGGTAGTGGTGATAAGAATGTGGGATACCGAGAGAGGTAAGGTGTCCGCCCGGAACACCAGTAACGTGTTGTTTGTCAGTTGAAGTCAAGCTGTAGAGTTAGTGGTGAGTGGATTTGCTAAACGATGGAATAGCAAGGGTATGGGACGCGGAGAATCATCCGATACAAGGCATTCTTATGTGAGTACAGTCATCTATGGGCGTTGTTACCTGTTATTTCCAGAATCCCAGTCAAGATGTGGACTTCACGTAGTATAGATTTATTGACATACTTTGTTGTTCAGTGCATTCCTTCGAACATTCTGTCAAAGTCCATTTCGCTGCGTGACTTTTCGCAGAGCAGAGACATAAAGTCTCGACATAAGTCGGGTTTTCAGTGAACAAGAGCTGTACACATCCTGTAAGCGATGGCGCAGACTGATGAACGCCAAGACCAATCGTGAAAAGACCCAGAGTTCAGATTAAGTTCTAAATAAAGGGTACAACTCGCATGCGTCCAGTCGAAGCGCACCTGGGGCTGGAGTGGGATGGCATTGACGTTGCGCTGTGTCATCCTGTACCTGACATCCTGCATCATTCATCTGTCATTCAAGTACTTCTACATCAAAAAGCACTACTCACATGCAATTGAGGAAGTATCTTGGTGACGTCGAGTGCTGCTTGCCGCTCCAGAAAATTTTCTGCTGATGCAGCGCGTGGCGACACGATTGGTCGACATGCTCACTCCATAGAAGTTGCTCGCCTACGGATCGCTCAGAAAGGTCGGTTTAACCTCGAGAGTATATTGTGTTTACCTCCGAGAACAAGTTTGTACTGCGCCTCGGTTAAGTTTATCAACAGATCAAAGGTATATGTCTAACGAAACATCGTGAGATGCGTGGTAATCCTCAACATGCGTACTTACCTCGGACCATGTCTTGAAGGGGTCATACCAGCTATCCCTTCTTCCTGCCACTGCAGCAGCATCGTGAATCTTCGTAGTACCAGGAGAGAGGCTCAATCATGATGTATCCACCGTTAGAATTGTAGCGTTCGCCATGGTGCTGAGGGCCCTGACTGACTGGACCGTGGTGGTTAGTTCATGCATTGGCACTTACAGAAGCAGTTATCTTGATATGTCGCCAACAGTGATGAGCTGCGACATCGGGGTGTTGATAAGATGGAAGGCAGTGACTCAGACTGTAAATTTGAAGATATGAGCAAGCATAGGTTCGTGAGTAGACCTCCAAGCGAAGAGAGCCGAAGCGTATGTGCCCAAACTCAAAATTTGCCATCAGCCCACGAGCTGTGGAAGACTGGATGCTAACATGTGCATAAGGGCACTCCGTGAAGAAGAACTACTGCACTGCAGCAGGGAAAGTCCCACATGATCATTCGACGTCCTAGGACATGAGGAAATAGCATTGTGATAACATACAGGACAAGTGGTCTTCGCGCGCCGCGGCAGTTGGTGTCAGCGAAATTGTTTGCTTGTTTTTGTTTGTCAGTTGGTGGCGCCGTGCCTACGCACACCTTATCTTTTATGCTTCAGTTGTAAGTATTTCACTCGCTATATTGGGGTACTTTCCTGGAGGACTAACTGCATTTAGCAGTAATATCTGCACGTTGCAGTACCCGTAAGCTCATGGTAAGCATCAAACTTCTTTTTGACAAGCGAGATGAGCGTTATACTACCAAGATACGGACTGATACGGACTCGTACGTGCAACTGTCATTTAACGTGATCTGAATGACTCCATAATACGTCACCTGGTGTTTCAGATAGACCCCTCAAAATGCCTGCCAGTGGCACTGTTTCACCCACCCGGGATGTCATATTGTATCTTCTGGCGCTGTACGTCCTGCTATTTTCGATGTCCCAGATCACTTTTTTCAATAAATTACCATACTGAAGTCCAAGGTCCCTCCTCTGGTAGCCGTGTTTGTCAGTAAGTATACGATCATTTTATGCCCCCCCTACATTGTAATATTAATGGGGATGATGATAGGACGCGGATGTGCTGCAGGTGAATATTCATAGACCTCACGTGGCACCGTTTAATTTCCTTCCGCTTCTTCAAAAATGCAATTGTGCTGCCACCAATCCATGCCACCATGGCACCTGCTAGACGAGATCATCGCTTCCTCAATTCAAGCGATGGCTTGTTGTGAGTGTGAGACAGTGCAGTGTACGTCATGGCATTGTCTTCTGATGGAAAGAAAGTTGGTAGCGGGGACTCGGAAGGACGGTGGTTTTGGTGCATCTTCCAGTACGTGACTTCGTTGATGGCTCCGCTTGAGATCGGATCGTACTTTTTTCATTCCACCAATAGCTGATGATTGACGCCCACCACCGTCACTCTCATCCCTCGCGCAGAGTCAATGGACTCGGACAAGTGGAATCTGGTACTGCAAGCATGATGCATTCTTCTTATGTGCGTTATTAGCTTTGCATTTGGTTTAGTACTAGCTGTTTTTTCTTCATGGATACCCAACGGATCATGCTGGCATCAAGACCTGCTCAATACGACAACACCCCATAACCGTCGTAAAAGCTTCTGCTGGTCTCCGATCTCATAATCACACCGTTTTCGAATCGCGTCAAAGTCAGCTAAACTCCAGCCTGCTTTAGTGAAACGGCATTCATGTTGCGGATCTCCCAAATGTAGGCAGAAATGTGACGTTGCCATACTCAAGGTGTCGATATGACAAGTCTCAGCGTGTCAGACATGCCTGTTATTAATAGTCTGAGATTTGGTGTATCACTGGAGATGATATGAACTCAAAAATGTACCAGCTGCTGCGGTCGCGCGCCAAGGGTCGCGATCGCAAACTCCTGCTCGGGTGCGTTATATATCCAGAAGGATGACAGTATGAAAGTATTACGTGCAGGCGTCATCTGTTCCATCAATATCGTATCTCAAAACCGGGAATGAAAAAAAAAATCATAACTCGAGGCGGTATATAGGGGATTATATCTAGCACATGTTTTGTTTGTCACACGCGAGTAATGCCGCAGCCTAACGTCAAACCCTGCAGCGGAGAAAACAAAGTTGAGATCTAGAAAAAAACAAGATCATGGTACGTTTGGCGACTCGCGAGGGAAGTATCGCAAGGGTGCCAACACTTTTGTTCAAGATACGTGCCCAGCGGGGTTAACTCAAGCACCAAGAAGATGTAAATTCTATGAATCAAGGTAGGCATCAGGGTGAAGACCATATGATGCACCAACGGGGATGGTGCCGGTCGGCGGTGGAATCTAGCGTGATCGCACTCATGGAGTTCCATGCCATACTAATCACCATTGAGCGCTGAGCAAAGGCAAATGGGGATTGGCTCTATGGCATATCTCGGATTCTATGGAAGAGAAAGTGGAGATCAGCGTTCAAAAGCCGATTTGGAATATTCGCACTATCAATCGGGATTCGGTATTGATGGAAAGCGGGATCCTTGTCATATCTGCTAGAACAGGGCTGCCCTTGTCAACATCGCAAAGCATGAGTTTACTGACCTAAACGATCCTTTTTTGTCACAATCATTAGGTCTTGGTGAAGAACTGGGGGAAGTGACCGCGCGACGGAGATCGTCCGGACGGAAATACTTACCACAGCTATCTGGACATTTTCCGACAACCAGTAAGTTCATAATAATACCGGTGACTCCAGTGCACTTCTGAGTCACATCGACTTTTAATACAGCCTACCTCAACTCGTCTAGTGACACAGCACATCGTTATTTCAGGGATGTATTGAAATTCATCCACACTGCACTTAATTACCACTTGGAAGCGAACAGGCCGCGCATGACTGTCAAGCGATCTGAATCTATGACAGGTAACAACCAAGCTGAACAGACTCGAAGTGGCAAGTAATCGTCTTATATGTGAAATGTGCTTTGTTTCTGAGAATAATTACCAATTAATCCCTGCAACACGAGGTAAACTACTAGTTGCAAGCAGATTATACATTGGTTCCAGATTACGCCCGAAGTTCAGGCCTCAGATGTGCTATGGGGCGTGGAGCATATGGTATAAGGCCTCGAAGTGATGTTTCATTATGTTCAAACTCCCAACATTCAATGAGACTAGCACTGCAGTCTTGTCTTGAGCGCCTCGACAGGTTAGAGCATCGTATGCACGAGGAAATCCAAGAGATCTGCAGCCTCCTTATGGATCTCCTTGACAATTGCCAGTCAGATGTCACGATGGAGAATTCGGGAGAATGTTTCAGTACTGTCGACTCCAGAGCTGGGCTCAATGGCCTCGATGCCATTACACCGTTTGGATCTTCGCACGACCGCTGCTTCGTGCCACAGCCTACTACAGGCTCTCCCCAAGGTAAGTTGTTGTATATGTCGTCCTACCTCCAAACGCTTACCGTATACAGGCTTATTGCCCCACAGCGCCCGCAGTTCTGCTGACTATGTAGCTCAGCCTCAACACAGCATATACTCTGCAGGTTTTCCGGCATTCTGTGACCCGCGTGTCACGAGATCGTCATCAGAGCCTGAGGGCATGGATGCTCGCTTTGGTGAATCCGTTATCATCCACAACTTTTCATTGAAGCGCTTACAATATATCCCCAGATTTATTGCTCCGTGGCACGTCCAAGCCCGTCTATGAGCCCAGTGCTCAAACCTTCCAGGGCATTTATTTCGGGGAGCATGTGCCTTCAAGTTCTTCAGCCGGACCCGACGCGCAACTGTCCGTCTCCGTTGTGCAGGCTAACCAAGCAAAGGACAAAGTAGAATGCACCTGGGACGGGTGCTCGGCAGTCATAAGTAAAGATAGCCTCACTCGCCACGTCGAAGAGGTGCACGAGGGGAAGATTAAGGCTGTTTGTACAGGCTGCGGAAGGGAGTTCAAGCGCCAGTATCAGATGAATGAGCATATCCCTAGATGTAGAAGATCCTAGATTGTTATTTTGTACGTCAAAGTCGCTAGCTAGACCCGCAATATGTCCATTTGAATTCCAAGAACGAGGACCAGGCCTTGTTGCACTTGTCGATGTCATTATGGCTGCTCTCGACGAGTTTCCCAATTCCATGCTGCTTCAAAAATGAAACTCGGAGGACGGCTGGTTGGAAGAGAACGAGGAGCCAGAGATTCAGTGTGATCCGAATGTACAGGTCTTGTGACAGTGACACGAGGGTACTTGCTGGTAACGAGGACGCTCATCTTGATGCTCCTCGATTGTTGTACTTGCTATCAGAGAAGCCAGTGAAAGGGGCGAGCAGTGGACCCCAGCAACAGGATACCACAGTTCCAATATCTTTGCAACGCGGCGAGGGACCTTTGCATAGCCCTGTAGCTGGTCATGATGGTGCTATCACCTAGATTGGGTAATGTACTTACAATATTTGTTGGTGTGGTTTCTTATGAACATGATGCGATCTACTCGGGGATGTTAGTACTTTAGTATTTGCTTCTACAAGGCCACCTTGGTGGACGAAACTGCAGCGTCGACGTTCGCTTGGCATGGTCCCCGATGCCTCACCACCGCCCACCCAATTGTTCGGGTGCCTAAATATACGCCCTATCACCGCAAAAGTACTAGGCTTGAAAAAGTTGATTAGAATCGTATCATATATATGACTTTATTGGGCAGGTTGGCGTGGGGTTTCGAAAGCAGTTGGGGTTGGTAAACGGGTGTGTCTTGTCGTGATACCTCGACCTCAACAATATTTGACAGTAGCAGCCAGGACCTGAGCCCCTTCTTCGTCGTCATTGAAAACTGTGAAAAGGTATGCCTCATTAACATTGAGAAGCTCGATATATTTACAAATGTATTTCAGACTCTATTCTGAAATATTTTGCCTATGGAAAGTCATCCAGTACACTCTCCTTGGAGATGATGATCGATTCGATGATCCCTTGGAGGTGAGAGATTACGCCAACAACGAGCCTCACAGCAAGCGGCAACTCAGCGGCCTTCATTCCCATCGATCCGCATCGCCCTTTTGAGTTCTCGGTACTCTTCACACAGATTCATTGAAGCAGTGGAATTAAGGGGTGCGTGTGTTGAAAACTTCATCTATGAAAATCTACATTTCGGTTGGGCAGATAAGGTCCTCTTCAAATACAGGCATGTGACTTCCCTGTGTACGCACCGTGCATCTCAAGGTACTCAAGACATCAACAAGACATGATTGCAATCTTGATCTCGATGAATCTTGGCTCGATCATGGACCTGCCCTGACTACAACGAAGACGTCGATGGGATGTCTATTAGTATCGACCTAGACCTTTGACGAACATTTATGGTAAGCTCATTTTGAAGTGATGCGTGATGCAAGCTTATTTGTGCAAAGACTCGGTTTAGAATGGTGAGGTTGGCTTCTAGGTGGCATGGAAGGTACGAACGTACCTCACTGGCCAGTCGTTGCGAGATTCCTGCTCGTGTAATCACACTCGAGGTTATTCAACGCAATGGAATTCAGAATTTTTATGGCTATGGCAGGCCAGTACGGCCTCAGACGTGCCGGCAGTCAAAGTCAAGCTTTGGGTGCAGGTCCGACAAACGGTAACGCCAGTACAAAACGCGCCAGCTCCCAACCTGAACTCGTTCCAATCACCTTCCTTTCAGGACTACAAATGCAACGATTTCTGTGATGTGGCGTTTTTAGTTGCACACTTTGGATAACAACCACGTACTGCAGCGCCAGATGGGATGTCAGCAACAGATCATGATATTATGATACTTACATTACAGTAGTCTTGTTTGACAGCGTAATATTCTAGTCGAGGACAATTTCTGAACGATCGTTTCCATTCAATACCATCATTCAAAGGAAAAAAACACGGCACATACCTTCCCATACGACAGGCGTCTTTTCATGGGCAATCAGTGCACCACGAGTGGTCTGTGCGAATGTGTCAAGAGCACCGTTCAACGTCATGCCGGTGCTGTTGAGCTGCTGCTGCGCGAGGTAGTCGTCGGCGTAACAGTTCTTGTTGATCCCATTGCCCTGATGCTGAAATAGTACGAAGGAAGGATCTTTGCGACGTCAATAAGCAAGGAAGCAGCAAATTTCATGACCTCTAAGAATGCAAAACGAAGCTAGCCAGCAGGGGGTTCGTTGGCGAAGTTTGTCCACGGGCTAGCGTGGAAGCTAGCAACGTATTCGGTGTAAGTGGTCACAATGATAGCAGCGTGGCCGTGTGTATCGATTTCCTGGTAGAATGTTCAGTCCATTGATTGATGAGTACTGACCATCATAACATCGATATCTCTCTGCGGGAACACCATCAGCGAACAAAGACCATGATAAAGGGAGACGTACTGCAGCAGCACACTGCACGATGTATTGGACATCATTCGCTGCGTAAACATCTTGAGCAATGCACTATGCACTGTTAATGGTGAGCTCGGGGTACTGCATAACTTCAAGTTCAAGTCAGATGATACCCTGGGACACATAACCGATGTGAGTTGCCCACTTATAAGTTATACCGAATCAAAGGTTGCAGTCATTCTCATTATTACGTGGTCCTGACTATTTGAGAATACAGGACTTGGTTCAAATGGTTGCACGAGAATAAAAAGTCAGTCTGTATAGACATACATGATGGTAAGCCAGGCTCTAGAGATTAGTCGGGAGATGACGTATCAGGCTGTAAGAGGTAGAGTTGGCCTTTAATGTATTCATCTACCTGCTGAGAGGACGGTCTACAGTCCTTGATAGACCAGCAATTCAGAATAAAACTCCAATGGTTATCAATGATCGCGAGAAACCGGACGCCACGGTTTTGTTCTGAGAGAAATTGTGACCACAACTTGTGCGCTCGCTTGAAGGGTGGTTTTCCCGTCAATACCTGGTGCAAGGGTGAGACTCAGCGTTGAAGGAACGTAATCTTGGGCAAACCTGGAAAAAAATACACCCAAACAAATATACGTCGTATATTTGATATCGGGATCATGGTCGTGCCTTCTTCTGGAATTGTAAGAAGTTAGGGTGCTATCCACCGCACAGTGCCATCCAGGGCAGACGTGAAATAAGACGTGCCCACAAACTCCATCCCAGTAAGATCGCCCTGAACAGCGAAGCACGAGTGGACTGAGGCAAAGAACCATTGTCGACCATGCTGAAAAACTGAGCAAGTCACCTATGGTGTTGAAGACCCGCAGAGATATCACTGAGCTGCGAAGGCATGAGTACGGTTTCAGACAGATCATGTAAGACATACCAGTTGGAAACGATTGATTATGGACACGGTTTGACCACGGGATTCCAGATAACCTGAAAGCGATCCGTTGTCATACCAGGGGCAAACCAAGGCAACGAATTGGCCAAAGCCTGATACAGTGCCGTACAGTGGGACGGTGTATCATGTAAGTCTCGATCAAACCTTGAGCTCTAGTGCTTGAAGCTTGATTCCTGATCGACTTCACAGCTACCTGTGACTTTATTGAACTTAAACATGAAAATCGGGACGCACTCACTACGATGATACTACCATTCCTGTCCCATGTACATCGCCGGATGTCACTCAGGCCTCCGAAAGAAGTGGCATGAGAGCTCGTGCGATTTAGTTAAATCTGGCAGGTTATCGAATCTGAATCAAGTCAGCGTTGCTGCCGTAGTGTCTGGTCGAGGTCTCACCGCCTTGTTGGATCATTTAGATTCGAGTGGGGAATTGACTGGAGAGAACTGATGGGAGATACTCCCAGTGACGTTGCCCGAAATTCGAGTGTCTGAAGTATTTTCTAGAAAAGTTGGAGCTTGTGTTTTCGTTCCACTGACTTATGGTGTGGTGAAAAATGTTGGATATTGAGGTCATTTGGAGGTCATAGTAATTAAGATTCGATGTTTGTTATTCTGTATATAGTACATGAGTAAAACCTGAAAGGATGGCGGACGCCTAGGCTGCACTCTTTGGTTGCGTGACATTCGTTCAGCGTGTCACGCCGGTATCCGTTCATTCAACCTTTCGTACATGTACCATTAAATCTTTGCTCACCCAATTAGCTCACCCACACCAAGAATGTTGCATGCACCGGTACATCCCTGATTTTACCCCATCATCACTCTCAGGTTCGAAACCCGAAACTTGAAGTAGAGTCACTGTTGGCCTTCAAAAGATCTGTCAAGCTTTTGATCTATCCGAAGGAAATCCTCTCTTTGACGGCGCCGACTTCAGGGAAGACGCGCCCGCCACATGATTCGCGTAATTTTGAATTTATCAGTGCCCAATCTTCAAGTTACGACTTGGCCGTCTCCGAACTTCTCATGCGACGTGGCTCTTTCCTTAACTACCTGACTTCTCCGGGGAGTCATGGATGCCAATGGCAATTTTCACGCGCATGTAGTCACGGTAGTGTCCATTATCAAATGAAACTTAACTTCTGACCGATTTATCCCAGGCTGCGCAAACATATAATTTGGTCACATCCTGTGAAGGACATGTGCCTTGTGATCTTTGTCGCGTCGCGTCGGCCGCACCGTTCATTTACATAAACTCGCTAGATGCACCCCTCCGTGAGCTACTATTTTGGGGAACGTTGGTTCGTTGCACGCTTCGGCTAGCAATCACGTATTGCAGCACCTGATGTGATGTCAGCAATAACGCCCGTCAGAAATTTGGACAACACAAGTTTCACCTGCCAGGCGAACATCGGACCATTGCCTGTTCAAGCGGTGACCTGTGAGTATGGAACTTGAGTAGTGGTGACCAGATAGGGCAAGACTAGCGAGACGGAGATGACGCACTGTAAGTAAGCCACGACGTTGTCCCCTGACGGGAAGATGCGGGCAGTGGGAATAAGAATATTGGATACCGAGAGAGGGAAGGTGTTCACCCAGAACGTCGGTGAAGTGTTGTTTGTCCGTTAGAGTCGATGTCTAGGGTTGGTGGTGAGTGAATTTGCTAAACGATGAAATAGCAAGGGCGTAGGACGCCGATAATCATTGGAGATGGGACATTCCTACGTGAGTACAATCCCAAACCCAAACCTATGGTTGATTCCATTGGCTCTTAGTGGCATGCTGTGACTGCAAAGACGGTCTCGGCGAGTTTCGATATTGGACCTCAAATGTGATCATCCTGATTCTATGCAGCGTAAAATTGTTCTCATTTTTTCTTCTCAAATTCTGAACGCTGAAAAGGTTGCGTTAAAGCGAATGGATCTGAATTGGCAAGACAAGGTAATTTGACAGGTTAACGTAATCCGAACTAGAGTTTCGGCGGTTTTCTCAGAACGGTTCAGGAGATCTCAATTCACGATGTCTTAAATGTTATGTGAACGATAACTCGCATTAGCGTCGCCGGTCGGTCGTCGGCAGCCTTCAATCGGAGATGCTGAGAGGTCACCCGGCAAGCAGCGCCCGGTTACTTACTTATGAGACGGAAGTATGTCACAGTATCGACATGTCAACATGTCAACGTCTCAATTTCGGTGCAAGGATCAAAAGAGAGCCAAACTGATATTATAAGCCTGATCCCATGAACTGGCCACTAAATCCAACAATTGAATCAAAACTGGATAAGGAGGTGCGTGGAACACTGCCCTCTATCGCACATATGCCTCTTCACAGAGCCATGTAAATATGCAAGAAACAATATTAGGTTCTTATAGCCCGTCATGAGCGCTGGATGATAATTGGACGATATGAATTAATCGCAAGCTTAGTATGAAATGAATGGAGTGATCCTTGGCAGTCAGCTTATGAAGAGATCTACTGTGATGCTGCAACCGGAGTCAAGGGCACTCAACCCGATATTAATTTCTTCTGATATTTGTACCTGTGTCTTCGCCGTGCGGGCCCGCCCCATGAAAGAGTACCATTGTAGACTTCGCGACAAAGTTATACAGCGGAAGTTTACATGACCAGTCACTGAGGTCTTAATAAGTTCTGATTTGGGTCTTTAGATTGAGCTTAGTTAAATCGGAGAGCTCAGCTATGCGGAGGATTAGTACAGTATCGGTTACGTCTTGTGCCGTCAGCTATGGGCTTGGTGTACCCGTGTAGGAATCCTGCCTCAGTACTCAGATGGAAATTGGACCTTGTCCGAGTCTTGGCCGGCAAGTTGTAACCAACAACCCGTTCGAGTTGCGCAGGCTGGTCAAGATAAAGTAAAAGTGTACCTGCCCCAGATGCTCAAGAGCTGTCAAGAAGGATAACCTCACCGTGACTTGTCATGTGAACGAGATGCCATCAGCGATTCGGCGGAAGGTCAGCTCAAGGTTGTCTGCGTCGGTTGTGGAAAGCTAGGTTCGCGCCCATATATGCCGAAGCGCTGGCTCGATATTGTTCGCGGGAGATTTACATAAAGTCAGATACGTACATATACTCCAGCACTTTGTCCGTTCCGTGCGCACTTCCGCAGGTACAAGTTTCGTTCATACTCCGCTTGGAGGTTTTCACAATGATGACACGTTATTCCCTCGGCTGTCTATTGTAGGCCCATCCCCATCTTCCTGCCCGCCGGGTTCCTCGCTGCCCACAGATCTCCGCATGTGAGCGACCCCAACTGCTCCGCTGCTGCCACTGATCATCGATCAGTGACAATAACACGAGCTAGCACCAATCCGCCACTTCCTAAGACCTGCTTGCCTCCACAAATTTCATGGTGCACGCCATTCCTGCATGTTGCAGTTGTGTTAACTGACCATTTTATATCCTCCTTTTGGTTTGAGGCACCTGTGGAATGTTCCAAACACGAATACTCTTCCATTCATATTCTGCTATCCTTGCCTTTGCTGACTTCTCTCACAGGCGGCGATGTTCATCACCCATTTGGCTAACTGCACCCTCTGGTACCAGGCCTGAACGTGCTACTCCTTAACTAGTTCGATTACACTACTTGCTAGCTCTAGACACGTATTTTGTTACTTCAATAAGTAACCATAGGCCTTCTTGAACACGAGGTTACTTGCGGTATGGTGTATATCATAATTTTTAGCGAACACGGCAGAACTTCCTTATGATAGGAAACTTTGATGGATCGTAAAGTTTGCATTTTTCAGGGTTGTTCCTGATGAAGTGTACCTAGTTGGCTTGTGTGTCGTCATGGTCGGCATTAGCCCTAACGTAGACCGCACCTCCATCTTAACGTTATGTCCTCCCGCGCGCCAAGGCCGCACAATCACACTCAACCTACAGGAAGCAAACAGGCCCCAAACAGAAATATAAAGAACCGCGCAAAGGTTGGCAGGACCTTCTTGCATCCATACGACTTCCCGTGCCAATCAGAAAATAAACTCAGTATTCAGACTGAAGCCGCCTTTACATATGTAAGCTTATATTTCGTTGACAGAAAACATGACTTAACCTTTAAGGTCCAGACCAATGCAAACAACCTTCCCGTCGACGACATCTTCGCAGCTGGGGCAGGCCCCAGATCGACATTCAATGAAACCAACACTGCAATCGTATCTTGAATGCCTTGACCGACACAGTGAAAGGATGCTCAACACTTACAGGGAAATGCTGGAGATCTATTCTCGTATCAGAGAGCTTCTTCCCAGCGACCAATCGGAAGTCACCGAGGGCACATGGGATGGCACCGTTGACATCCAAGCGACCGTCAATGAGCCTCAGACCATTGCCCCAAGTGTACTCGCTAGTGCATGGTCATCGGATCTCTCCTTTCCAGAGCTTTTACCATTATATAGCCAGCTTCCGGACGGTCCTTTAGGATTGTTGTTAGAGGGTGTAAATCATCCCCTCGGTCAATTTTCCCAAGGTAAGTTTGCTATCATTGGCAGCCTTTTCTTTGCAAACTCACCATATACGAAAAGACGTAGTGCCCTACAGCTCTTCCGATCCAGACGGCTATGAGTCTATGGCACAAGACTTCGTGCCCCAGCACAGCACGTACTCTGAGGAGCAGACCCCGTCAAGTTCTTCAGTCGAACACGATGAACAATCACCTGTCCAGGAAAGAGTACAGTGCACCCGGCCTGGGTGCTCAAGTGTCGTCAACAAGAGTAATCTCACTCGTCATATCAACGAAGTACATGAGCGGAAGGTTAAGGCTCGATGCGCCAGCTGTGGAAAAGGGTTCGCACGCCCGTACATGATGGATGACCATATCCTTCGGGGCAAATGCGTCCCTAGATTTGGTTGACTTAAACAAAATGATGCATGCATACGCACGCACGCCCAACTTCACCGCTTCGATTATTGATAATTGATTTAGTCTTCTCGAAGTTGTATTCTCTAGTGTACCGATGTTTCCTGAAGGCCACCCGAATGCGATGACTATGATCATTGGGGCAATGAATGTATGGAACCAATCCGGAACCGCACTGAGGTCGCAAACTCCGACATTCAAATGTTCATCCTTGACCTCATTCGCCACAGAGCGCTTTGACGGAGGCTTGGTCATCCATTAGCGATTGAACAGGGAAAGTCTTGGAGATAGACGTGTAGTGGATCTTGAAAAGCAACACGAAAGGTAAAACCGTAATCATGATGCACAGCAACGGGAATAAGATTCGATTAGATATGGCTGTTTCTCGCGTGATGACATTGACGTTGATTATGAGAGAGCATGCAGCTGAATTGTCTATTCAATTGTGAGGGAAAAAATGGGGAGCATGGCCGAGGACACATACTTATTTGAATTCAAATGTTGACTTGGAGCGCTGACATGGGCCATGATTGGGATGCGTCCTGACGGACATTGATAAAATAAGCCGGCAAGTAGCGAAATGGTCGAGTGCTCGGAAGGATCCGGTGTGTCTACAATTTGTTTTTCACAGCTGCAGTCTCTATTATAGCAGGGTCTGGCCATCACAGCATCTTGCAGTAGGACGTTCGCCATATGTTGTCATACCTACACCGATTAGATTTGCTACACCGCACTCTGCCCCTAGTGAGTCAAGGGTCCGTCCGCTTGGAACTCTAGTCAGCAATGGAAGGTGAGGTCTGTCATCAACTCATTCTTATGGCTTACTATGCGCAACTCCAAAACAAGGCGACGACAAATCATTCATCATTTTAGTACTAGTGCGTCGCTAAATTCCACTCTCAGACTTCATTCGCCCTTAATACTAGATATACGGAAGTGATTTAGAAAGGGAAGGGAAGAGCAAGGCGAGTACTTCGGGGTTGGACTTCCTGCTGGTGTACTGAATGTAAAATACAGAGACTGAGTAGAGCAATGACATTGAAGGATGGCTGGGGCCGGATCAAGATAACGTTGTGCCAATTTTTGGGATGACGCTTGGATTTGGCCGATGACCAGCCTTGGTATGCCCATGGATAGAGAATGGCTCTTTGACACGTTACTCGGAGCAAAAACAACATCAAATCACTGACTCCGAATCAACCCGAAAGGCAATGGTGAGCGGCCATCACACTTACTCACCCTATTTCACGGGACTATACAGCTCTTGGAAGTCATTTCCGCAGTTCATTATCGTACGCATTTACTTTTCCTCTATTTCTCGCACCAATTAAGCTTTCGATACTGTCGCCAACTGCACCAGCTCTGAATGCGCCAACATCTTTCCTGTGCCAAGCCATACCCAACCGCACTCTCCAGCACCTTCCCAGCTGTCCATCACTCAATAGTTCAATTCCACTACTTACTAGCTCCAGACACATGTTTTGTTGCTTAAGCTACCACCAATCGACTATTTCTGCCGTTGTGTGATTCATATTCTTGTTCCTCTTCAAATTAAGTTCAGTAGGAAACGCTTGCAAGTGCTACTAGTACAATCTTTTTTGATCCTGCACCAAAATTGAAACGTTCCCATGTCGATACAGTGACATACTTCCGTTTCAGTGCCAGTTACGCTTTAAATATGTGGACGGGACCTTCGAATGGACAGGACCTTCGAATGGAGGGGAGCTTCGAATCACGGAATATTGGAGCTTCGATGGGAGCTTCGAATGGACGGGAGCTTTGATTGCGCGTGATGGGGGAACTTCGAATGGATGGAAGCTCCGAATGGATGGAATGAAAGTTTCGAATGGACAGGAACTATTATGTACACGATAACCTCGTACATGTAGTATAGGGTCGTCAGTAGACTTTTTGAAGTCATTTACACGGTAATTCATATCTCAGCCTATACACGTGGCCGGCCTATCGGAACATATCCAGTTCTCACTTGGGATATCAGTGATTGATGGTTCCTGCGGTTGGCCCCTTCGGGCCCAGCGCACTGGCACTTATGTACGATTTGCCCCTTTCGCAGTGGCGTTGCGGTAATATTTAACGGTGGATTCGAACCGACAGGGTGGATTCTAGCGGATTGTCCTAATAGAATTCCATGTGGTTGAGTAAAGGCTGCAGACGTAATTAGCTATTTATCGCGGATTTCATGAAAGAGAACATACATATGGACTGCCACGGCTATGTTTGGAAGTCGATTGAGAATGGCAATATCAACCAGTAGTATTGATGGAGAGTGGAATATCGATCCTTTTGTGTCCCTGCCATCGGCCCTTGTTGACATTATGAAGCACGAGTACCAACCGAAATGACCCTTTCTTGTTACAATATAGTTCTTGGTTAAGAAGGAAGTCACCGCGATGGGGACCGTCCAATGGAACTACCACGGTAGCTTGACACATCCCAGCAAGTTCATAATGGTACCTGTGACAGTGCACTCTGAGTCACGCCAACTTCCAATGCAGCCTAGTCGTCCAGTGACATACTAGCTATTTTGGGTACGCGTGGAAATTTATTCACATCGCGTTTGACTGTCTCCTAGAAGCGAGCAGGGAGATCTAAATCTATAAGAGGTAGGGCCAAGTTCACAAGGCTCGAATGGCAGGCGATAATAATTACACTTTGCATTTCATATGCAATTCATTTCCGGTAAGACTTGCAGATTGGTCCCGTTCAACGAGGCAACTCATTAGAAGCAAAATACTCGGTGGATTCGGCTACATACCCACTGCGCCTGCCAGAGGCGCCATGGGCACAGAGCGCATGATATAAAGGCCTTGGGATGATGTTCCATTTTGTGATCAATTTCCCAACTCTCGCAAAGGATAACAAGGGTTCTCCTGCTTCCATACTGTTTTACCTGTCGCCTAGAGTCTACAGATGGATAGGTTAGGCGCGCACCGTAGAAAAAGACACGAGCGCACCATAAATTCATCCAGATCAACACGACAAAACCTGTCGTCCGCATGGTCAGTACAGGCCCCTGATCAACATCCAACAAGACTAGTCCGGCAGTCATATCTCGAGTGCCTCGACCGCCTCTACAGGTTAGAGCGTCGCGTGCACGAGGAAATCCAAGAGGTTCACAGCGTCATGGATCTCCTGGACAACTACCGGTCAGATGCCACAATGGAGGATTCGGACGGATGTGATAGCACCATCGACTCCAAAGCTGGACTCGATACCCTCAATGCTATTCTACCGTCTGAATCTTCGCACGACCCCTGCTTCGGGCTACAGCATGCACCCCATGAAGCATCATTCGGGGTTGTGGAATCGTCATCAGAAGGTACAGAAGGTGAGTTGCTGTATATGCAGTCTTTCAAATTTCAATGCTTACCATGTACAGGCTTATTGCCCCATGGCGCCCGCAGTTGTGCCGACTATGTAACTCAGCCTCAGCACAGCATGTACTCTGCAGGCATTCCGGCATTTCCTGACCCGCGTGTCATGGAATTGTCATCAGATGGTGTGGATGCTCGCTTCGGTAAATTCGTTATCATTCACAACTTTTCATTGAAACATTCAGTGTATCCCTAGATTTACCACTCCATGGCGCGTCCGATTCCGTCCATGAGCCCGCTGCAAAACCCTTCCAGGGAATTTATTTCGAGGGAAATGCTCCATTGAGTTCTGCAGCCAGACCCGACGCGGAACTGTTTGTCCCCGTTGAGCAGGTTAGCCAAGCGAAGGTGAAATGCACCTGGGAGAGGTGCTCGGCACTCGTCAACAAGGATAATCTCACTCGTCACGTCAAAGAAGTGCACGAGGGGAAGATTAAGGCTGTTTGTGCGTGCTGCGGAAAGGAGTTCAAGCATCCGTACCAGATGAATGAGCATAGGCTTCGGACCGGATGTGGAATGTCCTAGATTGTGATCTTGTATAACAAAGTCGTTAGACATTTGATGAAGTGATTCCTTATGAATAAGATGGGATCTGGGAGTGTTGATGTTCACTTACTATAAGGCCACCTTGGTGGATGAAAGCACACCCTTGATTTCATTCGCTACTTCGAGTGAGGTCGAGCCATCAATATCGGCAGAGAAAGCCCTAAAGATAGGTATGAATATCTCGAAAGAAACAGGGAAGGCGATGCGCACCGTTGTTTATAATATCAAGTGTTTTCAAGAATCGAGAGAGTGCAGCCCTCTACGTGAATTGTTGTGGAAAAGGAGAAGTATGGCTGCACTGAGAAGAAAAACGTCGACAAGACGTCGGGACTCGGCCCCCGGGCCCCAATATTTAATAATAGGATTGTTCGGGTGCCTAGATATAAATATGCCCCATCTCCGGAGTTCCTATGTTCCACGACTACACCTCCAGCATTCCTCTTGGAGATGTCATGATTGATCCCTTGGAGGTGAGTACGACGACGAGCAAGCGGAAACTCAGCGGCCTTGATTCGCATCGCCTTGTCCGTGCCTTTCAACTTTTCCGTATTCATTTTCGCTCACAAATTACTTCGCACAGAGATTCATTGAAACTAGCCGGGCTTGCATGCATGCGTGTGTTGAAAACAAACGTTGACTCAGATAAGGTCTTTCTTCCAATACAGGCGTGTGAATTGCCTATACATACGCGTCGTGCGTCATTTTGCCGATCAACATAGTTGCAATCTTGATCGTCGAATCTTAGCTCGATCATGGACCTGCCCTGATCGCGACGCGTCGATCGGAAGTCTTCGTGTCGATCTAGATCTTTCAAGGCAAGCTCATTTTGAAGCCACACAGGTTTACTACTTGTGCAAAGACTCGGTTCGGAATGGTGAGCCTAGCTTCTAGGTGGCATGGGAAGGTGCTAACACAAGTCACTAGCTAGTCATTGCCTACTTTTGTGATCACACTCTAGGTATGCAATCGAATTTTTATGGCCATAGCAGGCCATTTTAAGTTCGGCTATCTCAAGGGAGACGCGACGCAACTAGGTTTAGTTGCACGCTTCGAGTAACAATCACATACTGCAGCGCCGGATGGGATCGCTTCAGCAACAACGCCCTGCCATAAATTTGGACAACGCAGCTCGTCTCACCTGCCCGGCGAATATCAGATCATCGCTTGTTCAAGTGGCGACCTGCGAGTATGGAACTTGAGTAGGTGACCAGATAGAATAAGACTAATGACACAGAGAAGGCGTACCGTAAGTAAGACACGCGTTGTCTCCTGATGGGAAGATGTGAGGTGATGAGAATGTGGGAGAGGCAAGGTGCTCACCCGGAACACAGGTAAAGTGTTGTTTGTCTGTTGAAGTCAAGATGCAGGGTCGGTGGTGAGCAGATTTGCTAAACGATGGAATAACAAGGGACGCTCAAGACAGGACATTCCTACGTGAGTACAGTCATCGATGGGTGCTGCTACCTGTTATTTTCAGAATCCTAGTCAAGATGTGGACTGCACGTAGTATAGATACAATTTATTGCCGCACCTCATTGTGCAGTGCATCACTTCGAACATTGCGCTACCTTCCATTTCGCTGTGTGACCCGCAGAGACAAGGCATAAATTTCTCGACAAACTCAGGTTTTCGTGAACGACAACTGTACACAACTTGGAAGAGACAGCGCAAACTGATCAACGCTAAGAGCAATCCCAGAATTCGTCACTACTGCTAACTTCCTACTGCCGTACTCTAGTGTTGTCTCCAGGTCTTGAAACAATTTCTATCTACAACTAACGACATCTAAATTGAACATTCGCTCTTCTTGACATGCTTTACTCTCTTCATTATCACTTCTATATGATTATTAGACTATCTTTATAACGCGCTAGACGCAGCCATGGTATCTCATCATATGCCATGGATGTATCCTTCTATGTAGTTGTTGAATTTTATCAAGCGCGTATTGTGTTGTGTGATTACATGGCTGTTACAGACGCGGATATCAAAAGGTATACAGGAGGGAGGGGACCGTCGAGCACAGTGAGCGGTGGAGCTCAGGTGACGCACGTAATCGTGTTAGAAATCGTACTAATGACACATTCCCGGACGTGAAGATATTCCAAACTCAATTCTTATAGGAGGCTCGCGTGATATACGGCGCAGTAGCCCTTCTCAAAGATCTAAGATACCTGTTGACTTCAATCCAATTCGAACCATATGAGTGAACTTGGTCGACGAAAGGGAGCCAGGCGGAAATAATGCGGGCGATAGTTTCAGTTTGAGACACGGATAAGTCCAAAGCCAATAATCGTAGGGAGGTATGTTGTATTGGCTCGGCATCAGGATCGATGTCGATAGTTGCAAGATTGATTGGAACTCGTAGTGTATCCAATTCTGGACATAGACTGAGCGCTGTGAATAATCCACGGAGGGAGATTTCGGAAGGAGCATAGCTAGCTGAGTCACTGATTTCCAGAGCGCGGATGTGCGGCCAAGTAGACATGGCTTGCAAGAGCATGTCATTGTCCAGGTGGATGATGTGGAAATTATGAAATGTGAGCCTCAGGCTTCGGAGTTGCGTAAAACAAAGAAATTGCGGAATTGGTGTCAAAGGCTCGCTGTTTGGGGGTACACGGTATTCCTCATCAAGAGAACAAATGGTGATTTCTTCTAGAGTCCGACACGCTTCGCAGCGGGACAGAGCATGAAAGAGTTGCTCGGCATCTTCTGAAGAGATATAGTTGGCTTCAAACTCGAACTTTTTCAGCGAGGGAAATTGCGAGTGTTGCATGACTGTGATGATGTCTTCAGGATCATAGAGATCTTGAAAGGAAAGGCTTGTGATGTTAAGGAATGATACATTCACGATATCTCGTTTTGACAGCGAAGGAGGGTCATTACACCCTTGTTCAATTTCTAAATTGAGAAGGGTAGGGAGGTGGGAGAGATGCTTCCATGTTTCCCAGTCGAGCATTGGACAACAAAGAGTTACAAGCCGCGTGCACCAATGAATCCTATCGGATAGCAGGGACATCTCATTTGCTGTACTATCAACCTGGCGCCATTCAGGAGTGTAGATGAATAAATCCTCCAGAGCAATGCAACGTATCACAAAGGATTGCAGACCCTCATCGACGCCCAATAGATGACATCGGTGCAGCATGTGAGGCAGAAAGAGGTTCAGATATGCGGTGGTAAGACTTAATGACTTCAGCCTTGGAAATATGCATGCCTCGGCGGGGATGACAGAGAGAAGGTGCGGATCATCAGATTTTATGTCCAATGTGCGTATGCGGGAGGAGTGACGCAGAAATTGATGGGCCTCATGGGCAGATAATGGCTCGACACCTTTCGCCCAGGGTTGGTGCCACTATTATGTAGACGCTCGGTGAGCCGAAAAGAAACGAACAAAGCGTAATGAAGTCATGTACTGACCCTTATACCACTATGGTATATCAGTCGATGTAACCTCGCTACACAGCCTAGCAGTGGTTCTAATCCATAGATTTCAGTCCACAGCAAATCCATCGCAGGCTCGTGGAAGATTTTGCATGTCCTTGCAAGCGCTGAAAGCAATTTCTGGGTCGATGGTGTTTCAGCATATGGTACATAGGCGAATATCTCTAGGAGGACTTCGTGAACAAGTAAAGCCTGATGCATCACTAGGCCCTGGGGCAGAGTTGGCAAGACTCAAAACTAAGTGTTATGTAACATTGCCTACGTGGGACCAATACTATTTTCAGAATTCCAGCCAAGATATCGATGTGAACTAGCTACTAGTGCATAGTATACACGTAAGTACTTCCACATCAAGAAACACTACTTACATGCAAACGAGGAAGTGCATCGGTGACGTTGAGTGCAGCGCCAGTGGGCTGCTTCCCACTCCAGAAAATTTATGCTGATGATGCAGCGCGTGGCCACGCGATCGAGTCGACATTTTGGGGACCAGACTGTCCACTCCATAGAATTTGCTCGCCTGCAGATTGGTCAGAAAGGTTGATTTAACCTCGAGATTAGATTGTGTTCACCTCCGACAACGAGTTCGTACTGCGCCTTGGTCAAGTTTGCCAACGGATGAGAGGTATATGCCTAACGGGACATTGTGAGATGCGTGGCTATCCTCAACATTCATACTTACCTTGGACTAGATTTTGAAGGGGGTCGCACCAGCCATTTCTGTTCTCACAAGGAATGTCAGTTCAGATCGAGTATATTCCACAAGATGAAGACCAACCCAATTGGGTCGTCTCCCAGTCCCTCACCAGCACCATAATCCTAGGATAATAAGGACATTATATTCTATAAACGGACTCGTCAACTAACCAGGTAGAAGTGATTTGATGGTGCATGGATGATCCCGAAACCCCTTCTTGCCACTACTGCAGCATTCTTTCAATAAAGTTGAATCAGCGATGTCAGATCGTGATATTATGATACTTACATCACAATAGTTTGGTTTGAGAGCGCAGTAGTCTAGTCTAGGACCATTTCTAAACGACCGTTTCCATTCAATATCATCATTCAAAGGAAGAAACACGCCACATACCTTCCCATATGACAGGCGTCTTTCCATGGACAATCAGTGCATCGCGAGTGGTCTGCATGAACGTGTCAAGAGCACCGTTTAGCGTCATGCCGGTGCTGTTGAGCTGCTGCTGCGCTAGGTAGTCGTCGGCGTAAAGGTTTGCCAATTTCATTGCCCTGGTGCTGAAATAGTATGAAGGAATGATCTTTACGACATCAGTAAGCAAGGAAGCAGTGAAGTTCATGACTTCTGGGAATACAAAACGAAGCTGGCCAGCAGGGGGCTTGTTGGCCAAGTTTGTCCACGGGCTAGCATCGAAGCTCGCAACGTATTCGGTACAAGGGGCCACAATAATAGCAGCGGGGAATACCATCAGCGAACAAAAGACCATGATAAAGGGAGACGTACTGCAGCAGCACACTGCACGATGTATTGGACATCATTCGCTGCATAAACGTCTTGAGCAATGCACTATGCACTGTTGATGGTGAGCTCGGGATACTGCATAACTTCAAGTTCAAGTCAGATGATACCCTGGGACAGATAACCGATGTGAGTTGCCCATTTATAAGTCATACCGAATCAAAGGTTGCGGTCATTATTATTATTACGTGGTCCTGACTATTTGAGAACACAGGACTTGGTTCAAATGGTTGCACAAGAATAAAAAGTCAAGTCTGTATAGACAGACATGATGGTAAGCCAGACTCTAGAGATTAGTCGGGAGATGATGTATCAGGCTGTAAGAGGTAGAGTTGGCCTTATGCATTCATCTACCTGCTGAGAGGACGGTCTACAATCCTTGATAGACCAGCAATTCAGAATAAAACTCCAATGGCTATCAATGATCGCGAGAAACCGGACGCCATGATTTTGTTCTGAGAGAAATTGTGACCACAACTTGTGCGCTCGCTTGAACTCGGAGTAGGGTGGTTTTCTCGTCAATACCTGGCTCAAGGGTGAGACTCGGCGTTGAATGAACATAATTTTGGGCAAACCTGGAAAAAATACACTCAAACGAATATACGTCGTATAATCGCTCAGAAAGCTCGAGAGTAGATTGTGTTTACCTCCGAGAACAAGTTTGCACTGCACCTCGGTCAAGTTTGCCAACGGATCAAAGGTACATGTCTAATGAAACATCGTGAGATGCATGATTATCCTCAACGTTCAACATTCGTACTTACCTCGAACCAGGTCTTGAAGGGGTCATACCAGCTAGTTCTGTTCTCCTAAGATATATCAGCTCATATCGAGTACATTCGACAAGCTGAAGACTAACCCGTCTCCCAGCCACTCATCAGTACCAGAATCCTGGGATGATAAGGAGATTGTATTCTGTAGAAGAACTTGGCAACTAACCAGTACCCGTCTTGAGTGTTACAGTAGGAGGCTCAATCATGATGTGTCCACCGTTACAAATGTAGCGTTCATAATGGTGCTGAGGGCCCAGACTGTCTGGACCGTGGTGGTTAGTTCATACATTGGCGCTTACAGAAGTGGTCATCTTGAATGTCCCCAGCAGTGATGAGCTGCGATGTTGGGATGTTGATAAGATGGAGGATAGTGGCTCAGACGGCAAACATGAAGACATGAGCAAGCATAGGTTCGTGACTAGACCTTCAAGCGAAGAGAGATGTTGTGAACGTGGTGGCCAAGGCGTACGAAAACGTACCCAAACTCAAACTTTGGCATCGGCCCACGAGCTGCAGAAGACCGAATGCCAACATGCGGCATAAGGGCGCTCCGCGAAGAACTCATGTGATTCATGAATCTCAAGATCTAAACCGGATTCGTCAGTCAAGACACATTCACATATACGCTATACTTATTTTGAGACACATTCAACGATGCTACGCAAGATTCAATGACGGCTTTGATGGATGCAATGATGAACAGAATGAAGGTGTTGGGAATGACGACGGTGAAGGGGAAGCTGCAGATGACGATTTCATTATGTCTCTTTCCATTTCTGCCTGCTAAAACTTACAGCTATACATTTTCAATTCTAGCGAGGTACTGCGCTGCAGCAGAAAAGAAGATAGAAACTCCCGCATGATGTTTGCTTGTTTTTGTTTGTCAGTTAGTGGTGTTGTGTCTACATGCACCATACCTAGTACTATTCAACATGTTCACATGTGACCATCATGGGAGACGTTCACTGACTTTGGCGAACGTTCGGCGGCTGGTAGAACACTGGTTGACAGTGCGCCGCTGAGCCACGCCTCTCAGGCTCAGCCTGAGAATCTTAATTGCCATATCTGGTGCGCGAAGTATTTTAATTTCTAGTCTTTGCCTCACGTCTGATAGCTAAGTTAAAAATAGTACATACACTCGACACTTTGTTACTTACATATTAGGGACGCTCAAAGTTGGGGGCGCTCAGGTCGCCCATGCCTACCGCCCACGCCTATGACCCCTTTGGTCTACCTAAAACGTAGCTTACACAGTATTATATAATACGGATATGTACAAAACGAGATGGTGTTGTAAGCCAAGGGGGGTCATAGGCGTGGGCGACCTGAGCGCCCCAAACTTTGAGCATCCCTAAATAGTAATTCATCCATAAGTACCTACACCTTAGCATCTAATACATCATCTAATCTCTAGATTGCATGGCCGATGGTGCCGCCCATGCCTCGACGTTAACCGTGCCTTGCATCAGCTGTCACACCATCCGTGATTCGGTTATCACCCTCCAAGACATATGCTGACCCCTACCTGGTTGTGTTAAGAATGTGTTTCGAGCTGCGGAAGTACTACGCGCGTCCTATCTGTCTCTTGCGAAAGACATATGAATTATACAGGTCAGTAAAAGTTCACGGCCATGACACGCATAATTGAAATGTTCTGTTCGAGCTACACTTGAAGTCAATCATTTATTTTTGCGCATGATGGATTGGAACACCCAGACAACGCGATTCAAGCGGCAAGGAAATGACAATCGTTGCGATAGTGCTATTATAAGGACTCAAGCCCATTGGTAAATTCAGCCGGTTAATTTCGGATCCAGTACATGAAGCAAAATGGAGTACCGTTTTGATTCAATGGGTTCACGTTTTGTTGGCTAACCAGAGTGCGCTATGCGAAAACTGGCCACGAGCCATAGGCCAGATTGCACCTGCCAGACGGGCCACGGAAAAGGTGGAATGAACATAAAAAGCCGTTCAATTTCCTGACTCACAAGTATTCTCCCCCCATTCGCACTCGCCTATACATTAGGTTGCATCATAAACAAAGACATGGATACACCCACATCAACACTACAAAATCCACCTGACCAGCATCTTCTAACACTCCAGTCAATTCTCGAGTGCATCCTCCGCCTTGATATGTTAAATCAGCGCATTGACATGTTAGAGCGCCGCCTTGACGTGTCAGACCATGGCGTGCGTGAGGCAATGCAGGAGATCCGCAGCGTCAAGAATGTCGTTTGCGACTACCAGTCAGGTTTCACAATGGAGCATTCGGGTGGACGTGGTGGCGTTGTCGACTCTCAAGCTGGAGTCAATGATCTCACTGCCGTTATATCGCCTGGATCTTCGCATAATAGCCAAATCATGCTACAGCCTGCAGCACTCCATGGAACATCGTCCGGGGTCATGGGATCGTTGTCAGGGGGTACAACAGGTAAGTTGCTTTATAAGCAGTCTTTCCTTCAAATGCTTACCGTGTACAGGCCCATTGCGCTACGGCGCTCGCAGTCCTCCTATCACAGTTAAGCATTCGGGTGGACGTGATGGCATCGTCGACTCCCAAGCTGGACTCAATAGCCTTAATGGTATTCCACCATCTATATCCTCGCACGACCCCTACCTCGTGCCACAGCCTGCACCCTCGTACAGGGTCACGGGATCGGTGCCAGAAGGTACAGAAGGTAAGTTGCTGTATACGCAAACTTTCTTTTAAACGCTTACCGTATACAGGCTTATTGCTCAACGGCACCTGTGGTTTTGTTAACAATGATTATGTAACACATCAGCATAGTATATACTCTGAGGACTTCACGGCATCCTATGGTATGGATGCCACGGAATCGTCATCAGAGGGTGTGGGTGCTCGCTTCGGTGAATTTGCTATCATTCCTAGCTATTCGTTGAGAAGTTTACAATGTACCCCTAGATTTATCGCTCGATGTCGATGGCACGTCCGATCCCGTGTGTGAGTCCGCTGCCCAACAGCTTGGTTCTGTTGTGCAAACTGGCCGAACAAAAGTCAAAGTAGGACGCCCCAGAGTAAAATGCCCCTGGGACAAGTGTCCGAAATTCATCAGCAAGGATGGCCTCGGTCGTCACATTAACGAGGTGCATGAGAAGAAGATTGTGGCTATTTGTTCAAGATGCAAAAAGGATTTCACGCGCACGAATGTGATGACGCACCATGCATGTCCTTTGTGAAGGTCCTAGATTATTATCTTGTATAACAAAGTCGCTAGATATTCGACGAAGTAGTTCCTTATTGAGCAAAATGCGATCTAGGGGATGCGATGTTCGCTTGATACGAAGCTGCCTTGATAGCTGAAATTCACCTTTGACTTCATTTGCTACTTCGAGGGAGGTGGAACTATCAATGGGTAAAGAAAACCAATGTAGAAATCTCGAAAAGAACAGGCAAAGCAATGCATACCGTTGTTTGGAATGTCAAGTGTTTTCATGGGAGTGCTACAATTGGAAATAAACCTAATTAGATACGAGGTGAAGGTAATGGAAAGGCAACTTACTGGGATGAATTAATGCGGAGTTAGGGACCGTTTGGCAACTGCTCGGTTTTGTTTTCATTTGAGACGGAAAAAAGGCGTCCAGAAATGTTGTCATGCTACAAGCAAATTCTGGATGGTGGGTCCTGGAATGCGCATGGGGGAAGAGCACCAAACAGCGTGTGGGTATTGCAGGGCAAGTGAGTGGTAAGAAATGGTTAGTATGGGGGAGGGGTCAACGTTCAACGGTAGGAAATGTATTGATCATTGGTTGTATGTGATGATGATGATCCGTTTTCCAGGTGTGCACAGTATAGCCCTCCACGCAAATATGGAAATAGGCCTGCGGAGAAGGAGATGTATGGCTGCGCAAACAAGAAAAATCAGCAAAAACGTTGTAGCGTTGACGTGTTCGGGTGCCTAGATAAGATGTCCTATCGCCGGCATGTCCCGGGCCATGACTGTCATATGTATGGTTCCACGACTATGTAGTACACCTCCACCCTTGGAGATATGTATACGATGCTTTGGAGGTCAAAAAGCCTAACCAGCAAGCGGAAACTCAGCGGCATTGATCCGCATCGCCTTGTCCATGCCTTTCGGGTTCATTTCGCTCATCGCATGTACAGATCGATCGGATGTCTTAGTGTCGATCTAGACATTTGAATGGATGTATCCTTCTACGTAGTTGTTGAATTCTATCAAGCATGTATTGTGTTGTGCAGTCACATGGCTGTTACAGACGCGGATATCAAAAGGTACACATGAGGAAGGGACCGTCGAGCACAGTGAACGGTGCAGCTCAGGTGGCGCATGTAATCATGTTGGAAATCGTACTAATGACAGTGAACCGGTGGGTTGTTGGCGATTATGCAGAGATACTAGTACAGTAGTTTATAACAGTGACGACAACGATAACGAAAGAACTCGAAGGTATGTAGCATCATTCCCGGACGTGAAGATATTCCGAACTCAATGATTCTAGGAGGCTCCCGCAACATCCGGCGCAGTAGCCGTTCTCAAAGATCTAAGATACCTATTGACTTCAACCCAGCTCAAACCATATACGTTTGTAACTTGGTCGACACAAGGGAGCCAGGCGGAAATAATGCGAGCGATAGTTTCAGCATCTCTTGTTTGAGACTCGGATAAGTCTAAAGCCAATGATCGTAGGGAGGTATGTTGTATTGGCTCGGCACCAGGATCGATGTCGATAGTTGCAAGATTGATTGGAACTCGTAGTGTATGCAATTCTGGACATAGACTAAGCGCTGTGAATAATCCACGGAGGGTGACTTCGGAAGAAGAAGCATAGTCGCCTGAGTCATTGATTTCCAGAGTGCGGATGTGCGGCCAGGTAGACATGGCTTGCAAGAGCATGTCATTATCCAGGTAGATGCAGGAATTATAAAATGTGAGCTCCAGGGTTCGGAGCTGCGTAAAGCAAAGGAAATGCGGAATTGGTGTCAAAAGCTCGCTGTTTGGGGTTACAAAGTATGTCTCCTTAAGAGAACAAAAGGTGATTTCTTCTAGAGTCCGACACGCTTTGCAGCGAGACAGAGCATGAAAGAGTTGCTCGGCATGTTCTGGGGAGATATATTTGGCTCTAAACTCGAACTCTTTCAGTGAGGGAAATTCCGAGTGTTGCATGACTGTGATGATATCTGCAACATAATAGATTTCTTGAAAGGAAAGACTTGTGATATTAAGGATTGATAGATCCACGATGTCTCGTTTTGACAGCGAAGGAGGGTCACGACATCCTTGCTCAATTCTCAATTTGAGAAGAGTAGGGAGGGAGTAGAGGTGCTTCCATGTTGCCCAGTCGAGCATTGGACAAGAAAGAGTTACAAGCCGCGTGCACCAATGAATCCTATCGGATAGCAATGACATCTGATTTGCTATGCTGTCAACCAGGAGCCATTCAGGAGTATAGATACATAAGTGCTCCAGAGCAATGCAACGTGTCACAAAAGATTGTAGACCCTCGTCGACGCCCAATAGATGACATCGGTGCAGCATGTGAGGCAGAAAGAGGTTCAAATATACGGTGGTAAGACTTAATGACTTCAGCCCCGGAAATATGCATGCCTCGGCGGGGATGACAGAGAGAAGGTACGGATGTTCAGATTGTATCTTCAATTTGCGTATGCGGGAGGAGTGACGCAGAAATTGAGGGATCTCATGAGCAGATAATGGCTCGACACCTTTCGTCCAGGGTTCGTCCCACTATTATGTAGACGCTCGGTGAGCCGAAAAGAAACGAACAAAGCGTAATGAAGTCGTGCACTGACCCTTATACTACTATGATATATCAGTGGATGTAACCTCGCTACACAGCCTAGCAGTGCTTCCAACCCATGGATTTCAGTCCACAGCAAATCCATCGCAGGCTCGTGGAAGATTTTGCATGTCCTTGCAAGCGATTTTGGGGTCGATGTTGTTTGAGTAGGTGATACATAGGCGAATATCTCCAGGAGGACTTCGGGAACAAGTAAAGCTCGATGCATCACTGGGGTACGGTAGGTCAGAACTCAAAACAAGGTTTTATGTAACATTGCCTACCACGTGGGACATTCCACCAAGATATCGATGTGAGCTAGCTACATAGTATACACGCGTAGCACGGATACAATTTATTGCCAAAAATGTGGATACTTCATGAATCATTGTTCAGTGCATCACTCGAACATTTCGTCAACTTCTGGCATTTCGCCGCGTGACTTCTCGCAGAGCAGAGGCATAAATTTCTTGACATATCATAAGTCAGGTGAACGAGAGCTATACACATCTTGTAAGCAACGGCGCAGACTGATTAAAGCCAAGACCAATCGTGAAAAGACGGATCAAGTTCTAAATCAAGCGTATATATCGCATGCGTCCAGTCGCAGCGCACACAACTGCGGCTGGAGTGGGATGGCATTGATGCCACGTTGTACCATCCTGTACCTGACGTCCAAGTACTTCCACATCAAGAAACACTACTTACATGCAAACGAGGAAGTGCCTCGGTGACGTTGAGTGCAGCGCCAATGGGCTGCTTCCCACTCCAGAAAATTTCTGCTGATGATGCAGCGCGTGGCCACACGATCGGGTCGACATTTTGGGGACCAGACTATTCAATCCATAGAATTTGCTCGCCTGCAGATTGGTCAGAAAGGTTGATTTAACCTCGAGACTAGATTGTGTTCACCTCCGACAACGAGTTCGTACTGCGCCTCGGTCAAGTTTGCCAACGAATAAAAGGTATATGCCTAACGGGACATTGTGAGATGCGTGGCTATCCTCAACATTCATACTTACCTTGGACTAGCTTTTGAAGGGGTCGCACCAGCCATTTCTGTTCTCACAAGGAATGTCAATTCAGATTGAGTGTATTCGACAAGATGAAGACCAACCCAATTGGGTCATCTCCCAGTCCCTCACCAGCACCATAATCCTAGGATAATAAGGACATTATATTCTATAAACGGACTCGTCAACTAACCAGGTAGAAGTGATTTGATGGTGCTTGGATGATCCTAAAGCTCCTTGCCACTACTGCAGCATCCGCAGAAGAAATTCAAATACTTTCAATAAAGTTGAATCAGCGAAGTCAGATCACGATATTATGATACTTACATCACAATAGTCTGGTTTGAGAGTGTAATATTCTAGTCTAGGACCATTTCTGAGCAACCGTCTCCATTCAACACCATAATTCAAAGGAAGAAACATACCACATACCTTCCCAATCTTTCCATGGACAATCAGTGCACCGCGAGTGGTCTGTGGGAACGTGTCAAGAGCACCGTTCAGTGTCATGCCGGTGCTGTTGAGCTGCTGCTGCGCTAGGTAGTCGTCGGCGTAGAAGTTTGCTAATTTCATTGCCCTGGTGCTGAAGGGAGGATCTTTGCGACGTGAGTAAGCAAGGAAACAGCAAAGTTCATGACCTCTGAGAATGCGAAACGAAGCTAGCTAGCAGGGGGCTCGTTGGCGAAGTTTGTCCACGGGCTAGCGTCGAAGCTCGCAACACATTCAGTGTAAGTGGCCACAATGATAGCAGCGTGGCCGTGTGTATCTATTTCCTGGTAGAATGTCCAGTCCATTGATTGATAGGTACTGATCATAACATCGATACCTCTGCGGGAACACCATTGTTACGGACTAGGATAGTTCGAGCTCTCCCTAGGCGGATTGCCTAATCTGATAGCGGGCTCGCTATTGGAGAGACGGGGATCTTCTCTCGAATGAGAGGTTCGGGGGTTCCACTTAAGGTAGCGTCGGCTTTCCTTAAGGTGCGGCTTAGACTGAAGGACTGGGACTGTCTTTCAGAGGAAGTTCTGGATAAAACCTAGTAGAATCAAGTAGGGAATATACATGATTCTAGTCTGCTCTATATACTGTCGTCCGTGTGCACAGACCAATACTACGTTCGGTAGGTAGATGTAAGTGTGTCTATACAAGGGCATCTTATCTGATGCCATGCGGTCGATTATCTATACATGAGGCTTACCATGCCTCTCTTATCTGTCCTCAAGGCGTAGCATGCCTTTGAGTCTAACTGCGCATGCTAAGGCATGCGGCTTCTCTTCTGACCATGAGGCAGAGCTTCCTCATGATCCGGGTCGAGGACCATCTAGGTCCGATCAGATGTAGCCTAGGCTGGTCTAGGTCATCTAACGGCATCCAGGCCGTTCTAGGCGTCTCTACGAGTCTCCGTTGAGTCGGTAAGTCATCCAAGACGGTGCATATGGTGGGATAGGGGCTAAGGTCATGATGACCTCCGTAGGAGGGGTTCTCGGTTACATGTTATTGTAACATTACCTCCGTTTCTGGGTCGAAGTCGCCGACTACGACAAAACTCTCTCCCGGGTTTCTTCGTCTGGAGTGGCAGTATTACTACGGGTATCAATGGGAGTGGGTGAGCGCGGCGCGGGGTGGTGCTTGATTAACTCTTCTAGTGCTACGTGGTTCTTCTCCCAATCTACGAGGAGTTCGTAGTATTCCTCGTCGTCTCGAAACTCTGGGAGGCATGATACTTCTCCGAGTTGAGGGCAATGGACCGACAGGTGGTCGGGTCCGATTTCGTTGCAGATGCAACACACAGCGTCTGGACACTTTCTAAAATTGTGTCCGTATCCTCCGCATCGTCGACAGATGCAGGTGCGGTCTACTCGCGCTTTCTTGGTAGGGCGCGAGGGTCTTAACTTTTCTCCAACGCGTTTCTTCGCGATGTCTACAAGGTCGCTGAAGTTGTCGGGGAGTAAGTGGAGCGCCATTGCGCGGATCTTCTTCTGGTCTTCCAGCACTATGAGGGCTCTAGTTGCTGGGTCTAAGTCTTCACGGTTCACCGATATTTCTAGGTGTCGCGTGGTGCGGATGATGTCTATTACCAAGGACGCGGATGCGGCGATGTTGACATCTGACTGTCCTAGGATGTCGCTGATCTCTAGGAAGTGGTCTGGGGAGAGAATGGCCGTTTCGGCGACGGCGCCTTTCTCGAGGTGGTCGAGGATTTTGGAAAATCCCGAGTTCTTTAGGGGAACGATGGCAGAGGCTTCGATGTTGTTAGGCATGATTGTTGCGAGAGTTTCTGGCGAGTATAACTTGTAGAGGGTTTATATGGACCTCCAAGAGTGCTCTAAGCTCCGCTTGATCAGTTAACTTATCTTTTAATCTCTTTATCAAAGTTCAATCATGAAGGCGTGGAGTGCCTCATGGTTCTCTTGGCAGAGGGGGAAGTCACCATGCCAGTGCGGTTCTGTGATAGTTTCGAGTCATTCCGGACTATCAGAAGCGGAAGTTTTGCGTCATTGCGGACGTGCGTGTCTTGATCTTTCGTTTTAGTCGAATTCTGTCAAGATCTAGGGTATGTCGTTTCGAGATGTTCTTTTTGTTGAATTTCTCGATCGGCGTTCTAGAGGGTTCCATGGGCTTTGCAGGAGTTTCCACGGAGTTCGTCTCGTGATAGTTTAGCGTCTTTCCGGACAGTGGCGAAGGTAAGGCATCCGGGGCTTGCAGGAGTTTCTCGGTGTATTAGTCTTGTCTTCAAGGTGAAGGGGTCCGTATCTCCGGGTTCGTCCTTCTATTCTCAGTTTTTAGAGTCGTGATGGACATGGGATAGTTTAAGGTCTTTCCGGACCGAGGATAGTTTCAAGTCATTTCGGACTTCTGCGCAGTTTATAGTCATGCCGGACTCGGGTACAGTTTATAGTCATGCCGGACTCATGGCGATTGTCGATATTTATAGATAAGGGTGCGGCCGGGGTGAGGGGAATTAAGAGTAAAATGAGTTTTAAATGAGAATTTCACCCCCCAAGTAGGCCGTTTGATCACCGATCAAATCTAGAAGTCTAAATCAAGGTTTCCGCAGTCAGGGTCAGACTGATCCGTGACTGGTGCGATCTCTCCCTGGAATAACCTAACATCCACAGGGTCGTCCTGGCGGGGACAGTGTCTTGCGATACGCTTTATCGTTCGCTGAAAGTAATTCTGCTGTTTAATCCGATCTACTTCCATCGGAGTCGTCGCGGGTTCTTCTGCTATGGCAGGGGCCGCGGGGGCAGTATTAACGACTATCTTATCGTTATCTTCATCGTCAGTTTCTTCCATCATTTCCTTATCGGCTAGTGTGGGCACGAGGAATGGGCGAGTGACTGGTGCGGTTCTCGATCGTTCTGGGAAAGAAACGATCGGCTCGGCCCGGTTGATCCATTGATCAGCGGCCGGTTCGTCTTCTGCTAGTTTATACTCTTGGCGGAGTTTCTTCGGTGATGGCGCTTCTGCCGTGACTACCGATCTACCTTTTCCAAGAACCGAAGCAGGTTCTGCTGAAAAGACGTACTTCTGAGTTTTCTCCGGTTCAGGGGCCGGTCTAGGGATCTTTGCACGAGGGGGTTCCTCGTCGAAAGTGGCTCTGCCTTTTCCTAAGATCTGGGCAGGTACTGCAGAAAATTTATATTTATCTGCGGGTGGTGAGGTGGCAACTAAGTCCGACTGTCTCGTGGACTTCTTCTCGACGTTCCGGGATGTCGAGGCGTGGGGTTCCAACGGCTTGGTAGCCGGTGCGTATTCGAGGATTTCGTGGAGTTCCTCGATCGGGGTTAATGTCGGAATGAATCTCCGTTTTCCCGAAGTTAGTTTCGACTCGTTTCGGAGATCTTCCATCGGCAAATCAGCCGGTTCTGGTAGTTTAGCCTCATTTCGGAGGTTCTGCGTGACAGGTGCTTCTGTCAGATCTAGTTTATACTCATCTCGGAGTTCTTCTTTCTTCTTCGTCAGGGTGCCTACCTCCCTTCTTTGGCGCGTGTTTCGCGTCCTCTTTTCTCTACAGAAGAGTGGCTTCAGCCCGTTCCTCTTCCTACCTCTCTCAATCATTCTCTCAAGTCCTTTCGACTTGTCAGTGGCAGGGATAGTTACCGTACCCTTCTTCCAGTCTATGGAAGGCTTCACAGCGGCCAGCCATGTGAATCCGAGTAAGATGTCGTCTAAGCGCGGCATTATGAGGAATCGTCCGTGCATTACTCGGTTGTCGATCTTTATGATGAGTCGGCAAAATCTTTTGACGTCGCCTCCTTTCGTTCCGTCTCCGTTCATTACCCTTTTTGGTTTCTGAAGGAGGTGCGTTCTAATGCGATATCTCTTGCAGAGTTCTCTGCTGATAAATGAGTCGCATGCGCCCGAATCTATAACCATGGTGGTCGTAATGGGCGGCTTAGTGATGGACATTAGGGTGGCGGCAACCCGTAGTTCTTTCTTCTTGGATACGCTATTCTTGTTAATTATTAGCGGTCCAGTCTTCTCCTTACCAGCCGCTGTCTTGCGGACTGTTTCTTCTTCGATAATCTTTCTCCTCATCGGGCACTTGTGGTCGTTGGCTTTGTGTCCAACGTGATGGCAAGAAAAGCATCGTCGTTGCTTCAGGTGGTGTCTTGTATCCATTCCTGAAAGGTTGGCGGCGGCGTCGGTATTTCTTCTGATCATCATGATCTGAGTCGGTGCGTTCATGGTAGAGGGAGTAGTGCGAAGGGACAGTGATGGGCTTAAGGATTCAAAGCTTCGTACGTCTGTCTTGACAATTTGTGGATAGCTTTACGCCGGTCTCGGCGATTTGGTCACGAGAGTAGAGGTCTACGCTTGTCTCAGCGGTGCGGTCGGTATCGATTCAACGGCGGTGCGTGATGAGCAGGGCCGGGAATGTAAGACTTGATTCTTTTGTTACGGACTAGGATAGTTCGAGCTCTCCCTAGGCGGATTGCCTAATCTGATAGCGGGCTCGCTATTGGAGAGACGGGGATCTTCTCTCGAATGAGAGGTTCGGGGGTTCCACTTAAGGTAGCGTCGGCTTTCCTTAAGGTGCGGCTTAGACTGAAGGACTGGGACTGTCTTTCAGAGGAAGTTCTGGATAAAACCTAGTAGAATCAAGTAGGGAATATACATGATTCTAGTCTGCTCTATATACTGTCGTCCGTGTGCACAGACCAATACTACGTTCGGTAGGTAGATGTAAGTGTGTCTATACAAGGGCATCTTATCTGATGCCATGCGGTCGATTATCTATACATGAGGCTTACCATGCCTCTCTTATCTGTCCTCAAGGCGTAGCATGCCTTTGAGTCTAACTGCGCATGCTAAGGCATGCGGCTTCTCTTCTGACCATGAGGCAGAGCTTCCTCATGATCCGGGTCGAGGACCATCTAGGTCCGATCAGATGTAGCCTAGGCTGGTCTAGGTCATCTAACGGCATCCAGGCCGTTCTAGGCGTCTCTACGAGTCTCCGTTGAGTCGGTAAGTCATCCAAGACGGTGCATATGGTGGGATAGGGGCTAAGGTCATGATGACCTCCGTAGGAGGGGTTCTCGGTTACATGTTATTGTAACAACCATCAGCGAACAAAAGACCGTGATAAAGGGAGACGTACTGCATAATGTATTGAACATCATGCATCATTCGCTGCGTAAATGTCTTGAGGAGAGTACTATGCACTGTTGATGGTAAGCTGGGGATACTGCGTAGCTTCAAGGTGACATCGATAACCGATGCGAGTAGCCCACTTGTAAGTGATACTGAATCAAGGGTTGCTATCATCCGAATTATTATTATGTGGTCCTGACTATAGAGGAATATTCGAGAATACAGGACTTGGTTCAAATGGTTTTGCTGCACAAGTCAAGTCCGTACAAGTATCATGGTAAGCCTCAAGAGATTGGTCGGGAGAAACGATGTGTCATGCTGTAAGAGGTGAAGCTAGCCTTAGATGTATTCATCCACCTGCTGAGAGGATGGTCTACAGTCCTTGATGGACCAGCGATTTAGAATAACACTCCAATGGCGACCAATGATCGCGGATGCGACAGTTCCGTCCCGAGAGAAATTGCGACCACAGCTTGTGCGCTTGCTTCAACTCGGAGTAGGGTGTCAATACCTGGCGCAAGGGTGAGATTCAGTGTTGAAGGAACGTAATCTTGGGCAAACCTGGAAAAAAATTCAATATATGTCGCTATTTGATATCGGGATCATGATTGCGCCTTCTTCGGGATTGCAAGTTCGGGTGCTATTCACCGCACAGTACCATCCAGGGCAGACGTGAAATAAGACGTGCCCACAAACTCCACCCCAGTAAGATCGCCCTGAACAGCGGAGCACGAGTGAACTGAGGCAAAGAACCATTATCGACTATGCTACGAAACTGAGCAAGTCACTTACGGTGTTGAAAACCCGCAGAAATATCACTGAGCTGCGAAGCCATGAGTACGCTTTCGGACAGATCCAGTTGGAAACAATTGATTATGGACACGGTTTGACCATGGGATTCCAGAGAACCTGAAAGCGATCCATTGTCATACCAGGAGTAAACCGGGGCAACGATTTGGCCAAAGCCTGATGCAGTGCCGTACAGTGGGACGATGTATCGTGTAAGTCTTGACCAAACCTTGAGCTCACGGCGAAGCTTCTATAACAACCAATAAGCAACACTAAATTGTACGGAGCACGCTGACTCACCTGGCTTTTTTTTGTTGACATCCTCTTCTGCTTGATTCCTGTTTGACTTCATAGCTACCTGTGTCTTCATCAGACTCGAACATGGAAATCGGGACGCACTTACGACGATAATGCTGGCTTTCCTTTCCCATGTCCATCGCCAGACGTCACTCAGGCCTCCGAAAAAAGTGGCCAGTTAAATCTGACAGGCTATCCATTCTGAACTTTCAAGTCAGCCTCGATGATGTAGTGTCTGGCTGAGGTCTTACCCGTTTGTTGGATCATTGAGTGGGGAATTGACTGCGGAGAACTGGTGGGAGATAAAGTGACGTTGCCCGGTATTTTCGAGCAAAGTTGAGGGATGCTCGCTCAATTCTAAATGTTGTTTGCAAGCCAAACACACGCTAAGCGTCGCCATTGTGGGCATTCATATTCAACATTCTACTGCTTATAGCTTGGATGCGAAAAGAGCCTATTCTGGAAGATGGAAGGCTTTGTGCCTGTGTCTCTTGATCCGGAAGATAGCCTGGGTGATCTTCCTGTCTCTGTCTTCGTTTTCGGCAGCAAAACGGCGCCTCCTGAAGATAGCATCATATGGACCTGCTGCCCTGACTGCGACGCGTCGATCGGATGTCTTCGTGTCGATCTAGACCTTTCAAGGCAAGCTCATTTTGAAGCCATGCGTGACACAAGTTTACTACTTGTGCAAAGACTCGGTTCGGAATGGTGAGCCTAGCTTCTAGGTGGCATGGGAAGGTGCGAACGTAACTCACTGTCTAGTCGTTGCCTGCTTTTGTGATCACACTCTAGGTATGCAATCGAATTTTAATGGTCATAGCAGGCCAGTATGACCTTCAAGCTCGGCTATCTCAAGGCAGATGCGACGCAACTATAGGTTTACTAGCTGCACGCTTCAAGTAACGATCACGTACTGCAGCGCCGGATGGGATGTCAGCAACAACGTCCTGCCATAAATTTAGACAACGAAGCTCGTCTCACCTGCCCGGCGAATATCAGATCATCGCTTGAACAAGCGACGACCTGTGAGCCTGTATGGAACTTGAGTAGGTGACCAGATAGAATAAAACTAACGAGACGGAGAAGGCATACCGTAAGTAAGACACGTGAAGTTGTCCCCTGATGGGAAGATGTATTGTGCTGTGTAATCATATGGCTGTTACAGACGCGGATATCAGGTATACAGGAGGGAGGGGGCCGTCGAGCACAGTGAACGGTGGAGCTCAGGTGACGCACGTAATCATGTTGCAAATTGTACTAATGACAGTGGACCGATTATGCAGAGGTACTAGTACAGTAGTTTATAACTGCAGTCAACAGTGACGACAACGATAACGAATGAACGAAAGAACTTGAATGTATGTAACAACACTCCCGGACGTGAAGATATTCCGAACTCAATTATTCTAGGAGGCTCCCGCAACATATTACGGCGCAGTAGCCGTTCTCAAAGATCTAAGATACCTGTTGACTGCAAGCCAACTCAAACCATATATGTTGTAAACTTGGTCGACACAAGGGAACCAGGCGGAAATAATGCGAGCGATAGTTTCAGCATCTGCTGTTTGAAACTCGGATAAGTCTAAAGCCAATGATTGTAGGGAGGTATGTTGTATTGGCTCAGCATCAGGATCGATGTCGATAGTTGCAAGATTGATTGGAACTCGTAGTCTACGCAATTGTGGACATAGACCGAGCGCTGTGGACAATTCACGGAGGGTGACTTCGGAAGAAGAACGATAGCCACCTGAGTCATTGATTTCCAGAGCGCGGATGTGCGGCCAAGTGGACATGGCTTGCAAGAGCATGTCATTATCCAGGTATATGCAGGAATTATAAAATGTGAGCTCCAGGGTTCGGAGCTGCGTAAAGCAAAAGAAATGCGGAATTGGTGTCAAACGCTCTCTGTATAGGGGTACAAGGTATCCCTCAGCAAGGGAACAAATGGTGATTTCTTCTAGAGTCCGACACGCTTTGCAGCGGGACAGAGCATGAAAGAGTTGCTCGGCATCTTCTGAAGAGATGTATTTGGCTTCAAACTCGAACTCTTTTAGCGAGGGAAATTGCGAGTGTTGCATGACTGTGATGATATCTGCAGCATCATAGAGATCTTGAAAGGAAAGGCTTGTGATATTAAGGAATGATATATTCACGATATCTTGTTTTGACAGCGAAGGAGGGTTATTGCATCCTTGATTAATTCTCAATTTGAGAAGAGTAGGGAGGGAGGAGAGGTGTTTCCATGTTGCCCAGTCGAGCATTGGACAAGAAATAGTTACAAGCCGCGTGCACCAATGAATCCTATCGGATAGCAGGGACATCTCATTTGCTGTGCTGTCAACCTGGCGCCATTCGGGAGTGTAGATGCATAAATCCTCCAGAGCAATGCAACGTGTCACAAAAGATTGTAGACCCTCGTCGACGCTCAATAGATGACATCGATGCAGCATGTGAGGCAGAAAGAGGTTTAAATATATGGTGGAAAGACTTAATGACTTCAGCCTCGGAAATACGCATGCCTCGGCGGGGATGACAGAGAGAAGGTGCGGATGATCAGATTGTATGTCCAACGTGCGTATACGAGAGGAGTGACGCAGAAATTCACGGGCCTCATGGGCAGATAATGGCTCGACACCTTTCGCCCAGGGTTCCGCCCAGGGTTCGTCCCACTATTATGTAGACGCTCGGTGAGCCGAAAAGAAACGAACAAAGTGTAATGAAGTCGTGCACTGACCCTTATACCACTATCATATATCAGTGGATGTAACCTCGCTACACAGCCTAGCAGTGGTTCTAACCCATGGATTTCAGTCCACAGCAAATCCATCGCGGGCTCGTGGAAGATTTTGCATGTCCTTGCAAGCGCTGCAAGCAATTTCTGGTTCGACGTTGTTTGAGTAGATGGTATTGTGTTCACATAGGCAAATATCTCTAGGAGGACTTCGGGAACAAGTAAAGCCTGATGCATCACTGCGGCAGAGTCAGGACTCAATGAGTCAAAACTAAGTGTTATGTAAATTATAAATCTAAAAACATTGCCTGCGTGGGACCAATATTAATGGGTGTTGTTACCTGCTATTCTCAGGACTCCAGTCAAGTATCGATGTGGGTTATATACACGTATACTGTGGGTAGTAGATACATTGAAAATTCAGTGATTTGACTTCTGGGTTTCCTTAAAGAGCTTCTATTGAAATCTAGCACTATGCACAATCTGACTACCGTTTCCGTGAGACAATCGCTGGAAATTTCTGCGACCAGTGACAAATACGTTGGAATCAATTGATTCTACTATCCACAGTGAGTAGATGTGTATATATGACGAAGAAAGCAGTCATAGACTGCCAGAAAATGAATTGGGCCAATAATCGTGTTGGAAATCATACTAATCAGTGAACCGGTGAGTTTTTGCTGGTATGTTGAGGTAATACAGTTTATAACGGCGACGATAACGACAACGACAACAAAGGAACGAAAGAACTCAAAGGTACGTGACAACATCCCCAGACATGAAGGTATTCCAAACTCAACTATTCTAGGAGGCTCCCGCGATGTACAGCGCAGTAGCCGCTGTCGAAGATTTGAGATGCTTGTTGACTTCATCCCAAGTGCTACCAATGCTTTCAACTTTGTCGACACAAGGGAGCCAGGCGGAAATGATGCGAGCGAGAGCTTCAGCATCTGCTATTTGAGACTGGGATATATCCAAAAGTTCCAATGTTCGTAGGGAGGTATGTTGTATTGGTTCAGCATCAGGATCAACGTCGATAGTGGCAAGATTGATTGGAATCCGTAGTGTATGCAATTGTGGACATAGACTGAGCGCTGTGAATAATCCATGGAGGGAAACTTCGGAAGAAGCATGATGGTTGTCTAAGTAGTTGACTGCCAGAGTGCGGATGTGCGGCCAACTAGACATGGCTTGCAAGAGAATGTCATTGTCCAGGTAGATGCAGGGATTATCAAACCAGAGCTGCAGGGTTCGAAGCTGTGTAAAGCAAAGCAAATGTAGAACTGTTGTCACAGGCTCGCTGTTTGGGAGTACAGGGTCTCCTTCATCAGGAGAACAAATGATGATTTCTTCTAGAGTCTGACACGCTTTGCAGCAGGACAGAGCATGAAAGAGTTGCTCGGCCTCTTCTGAATACAGAAAGCGGGCTGCAAACTTGAACTTTTTTAGTGAGGGAAATTGCAAGTGTTGTATGACTGTGATGATCTCTGCACCATCGGCCAGCCCTCGAAAGGAAAGGTTCATGATGTTAAGGAATGATAAATTCACGATGTCTTGTTCTGACAGTGAAGGAGTGTCATCATACCCTTGATCGATTTCCAATTCGAGAAGAGTAGGGAGGCAGGAGAGGTGCTTCCATGTTTCCCAGTTGAGCATTGGACAAGACAGGGTTACAAGCCGCGTGCACCGACGAATCCTATCGGATAGCAGGCACAGCTGACTTGCGATGTCATAATAGCCGTCAGTGTGGATGTACAAATGCTCCAAAGCACTGCAACCTGTCACAAAAATTCGCCGATCCTTGTCGAGGTTCAATAGATGATGGTGGTGCAGCGTGAGAGGCAGAAAGAGATTCAAATATGCGACGGAAAGACTTAACGACCTCAGCCTCGGAAATACGTACACATTGGCGGGAATGACAGAGATAAGTTGGAGATGGGTCCTTTCTATGTTCAATGTGCGTATACGGGAGGAGTGACGCAGAAATTGATGGCCCTCATGGGCAGATAATGGCTCGACGCCTTCCGCCCAGGAAAAAAATTCGTCCCGCTGTTATGTAGACGCTCGGTCAGCCGAAAAGAAACAAACAAAGCGTAATGAAATCGTGCACTGACCCTTGTACCCATACGATATATCAGTGGATGTAACCTCGCTACACAGCCTAGCAGTGGTTCTAACCCATGGATGTCAGTCCACAGCAAATCCATCGCAGGCTCGTGAAAGATTTTGCATGTCCTCGCAAGCGCTGCAAGCGTCGATGTTCTTTGAGTAGATGGTACTCTGTGACCGAATATCTCTGCTGTTTGCCAAGTAGTAGATGGTATTGTATTCACATAGGCGAATATCTCCAGGAGGACTTCGGGAACAAGTAAAGCCTGATGCATCACTGGGGTACGGTAGAGTCAGGACTCACAACTGGGTTTTATGTAAATCTAACATTGCCTGCGTGGGACCAATATATATTGATGGGTGTTGTTCCCTGCTATTCTCGGAATTCCAGTCAAGATATCGATGTGGGCTATATACACGTAGTAGTATGAATAGAATCTATTGAGCCAAAAATGTGTATACTTCATGAATCATTGTTCAGTGCATCTATCACTCGAACATTTCGTCAATCTCCATTTCGCCGCGCGACTTCTTGCAAAGCTGAGGCACAAATTTCTCAATATAAGTCAATTTTTGGTGAACGAGAGCTGTACACATCTTGTAAGCAACGGTGCAGACTAAATAACACCAAACCAATCGTGAAAAGACCTAGAGTTCGGATCAAGTTCTGAATCAAGCATACATATCACATGCGTCCGGTCGAAACGCACACCACTGCGGCTGGAGTGGGATGGCATTGATACCGCGCTGTACCATCCTGTACCTGACGTCCTGTATCATTCATATATCATCAAGTACTTCCACATCAAGAAACACTACTTACATGCAAACGAGGAAGTGCCTCGGTGACGTTGAGTGCAGCGCCAGTGGGCTGCTTTCCACTCCAGAAAATTTCTGCTGATGATGCAGCGCGTGGCCACACGATCGGGTCGACATTTTGGGGACCAGACTGTTCACTCCATAGAATTTGCTCGCCTGCAGATTGGTCAGAAAGGTTGATTTAACCTCGAGACTAGATTGTGTTTACCTCCGACGAGTTCGTACTGCGCCTCGGTCAAGTTTGCCAACGGATGAAAGGTATATGCCTAACGAAACATTGTGAGATGCGTGGCTATCTTCGAGATTCATACTTACCTCCGACCAGGTCCTGAAGGGGCCGCTACTTCTGTTCTCCCAAGGGATGTCAGTTCAGATCGAGTACATTCGACAATATGAAGACTAACCCAGTTGGGTTGGAACGATCTATGACAGATATGCAAGGTGTTGTAACACTGACTTCTTCATGACAGATCTGGGTGCTCTAACGATATTCAGAAGCCATTCAGGGAGAGCGTGGCCTCGTTGCATGAGATAATAGCCTGGGACAGCCCACTTCTTAGTTATACCGAAGGAAGGGTTGTAGCCATGATTGTTATACGGTGCTTACTATATAGAGGAACATCCGAGAATACAGGATTTGGTTCAAATAGGTTTTGTTGCACGAGAGTAAGAAGTAAGGTCCGTACAGACATGATGGTAAGCCAGACTCAAGAGATTAGTCGGGAGATGATGTGTCATGCTGTAAGAAGTGAAGCTGGCCTTTGATGTATTCATCTACCTGCTGAGAGGACGGTCTACAGTCCTTGATGGACCAGCAATTCAGAATAAAACTCCAATGGCGACCAATGATCGCGTGAAACTTAGGACGCGACGGTCTTGTCTCGGGAGAAATTGTGACCACAACTTGTGCGCTCACTTGAACTCGGACTCGGAGTAGTGGTGTTCCCGTCAATACCTGGCGCAAGGGTGAGACTCGGCGATGAAGGAACATAATATTGGGCAAACCTGGAAAAAATACACGCAGTGCCATCTAGCGCAGACGTGAAATAAGACGTGCCCACGAACTCCACCCTAGTAAGATCGGCCTGGACAGCGGAGCACGAGTGAACTGAGGCAAAAAAAAACATTATCGACTATGCTGCAAAACTAAGCAAGTCACTCACGGTGTTGAAGACCCGCAGAAATATCACTGAGTTGCGAAGGCATGAGTACGCTCTCAGACAGATCATGCAAGACATACCAGTTGGAAACGATTTATTATGGACGCGGTTTGACCATGTGATTCCAGAAGCGATCCGTTGTTATACCAGGGGCAAACCAGAGAAACGAATTGGCCAAAGCTTGATACAGTGCTGTACAGCGGGACGATGTATCGTGTAAGTCTCGACCAAACCTTGAGCTCACGGCGAAGCCTCTATAAAACCAATAAGTAACACTGAGTTGTACGAATGAACATTCAGTTGGTTACGACAACACTATTCACCACAAATCCACACCCAAAGTCAGTGGAACGAACACACAAACTCCAACTTTGCTCGAAAATACCGGGCAACGTCACTTTATCTCCCACCAGTTCTCCGCAGTCAATTCCCCACTCGATGATCCAACAAACCGGTAAGACCTCGGCCAGACACTACAGCATTGAGGCTGACTTGATTCAGAATGGATAGCCTGCCAGATTTGACCGGCCACTTTTTTTGGAGGCCTGAGTGACGTCTGACGATGTACATCGGAAAGGAATGCTAGCATGTGCGTCCTGATTTCCATGTTCGAGTCTGATGAAGACACAGGTAGCTGTGAAGTCGAGCATGAATCACGCACTAGATGAAGAGGACGCCAAGAAAAAAAGTAGGGTGCGTCAGCGTGCCCATTCTGTATGTAGTATCCCGATTACTCCCGAAACGCTCACTTAATCCTTATTTTTCTGGACCCTCAGTCTTATATCCGAGACTGGTATGTCCGTTCATTTATAGTTATCATACTGACCTTCGTTTATGGTCCGCATTTGGGTCTGTACCGCCAGTGGTTGTATCTGAGCCAGCCAGCCATGTCTGAGAATAGAAAACAAAGAATAACCCAGCACCACGAAATAATACTAATCATTGGCATGATCACTGCGCGTGGGGTGATGCGTAGAAACAAGCACACGGTAAGAAAGCTCGGTGTACGTTAATGATCTTGCTTCATGGAGCGCTAGGTGAGTCACTACGCTGCAATTGGGCCATATTTAATTATAACAGAGGTAATCCAAGTCGCACCTCTTGTTCCGTGCACATTAAATGAGGGTTCGTGATCGTCGATTTAGAAGAACCAACTTGTGTAATCTTGGACCCTATCGTCATACTTGCTATATTGCCGACCGCTACTTGGTTGTGTTGGTCATGTGTCCAAAACTATGGCAGTACGCGTACTAGTACGGCCGTTCAATCTGTCTCCTGCAAATGAATGAAATGATATAGGATCACGCAGGCTACTTCTGTTCTAGCAATGTGTATTGTCTCAAGACAAAAACAACGCATGACTAGTCACTGTTGTGCTGTGGCGGTCAAGGGAGAACGGTCATTAATGCCCATTCCAACGGGACTTCCGTTCAATCCGGACTACAGCATTACCAACCAGACTCGGACTTGTCAAATTTACTGTGCATGACAGGTAGAACGCCCAAAGAAGGTGATTAAAGCGGCATAGAAGTGACTATTGTTGCGGACAGTGCTGCTGTATGGAAGCCCGTCGGGTGGAGTCAGCCGGATACAGCATGCTCTATCATATTGCGGATTCAACGGAAGAGAACGGGGGACGTCTAGCACGGCTTTTGATTCACTGCCTCTGTTACTAACTTACAAAAGGAGGTGCTATTATACCATTGTCTTATTGTTTCTGCGCTCAGCCTGCCTTGTTAAAAGAGCACAACGCACGAGTCTACTGACCTAAATCATTCTTCCATTCTTATCCCACTGCAGGTCCTTGTTACCGAAGGTCGGGAGGAAGTCGTTTGTGGAGAAGCAGCCTGTCTGTCATTATCGCTACCACCGGTGGTGATAAGATAGCCCTCGACAACCGGCAAGTCCATGATCATCGTACCCTGTGACAACGCACTTCTTCATGCGACTTTCAATGCAGCCTATTCGACCTTACGGGATTGTATCCAAGGACTCACCTCATCCGATAGCGCACGGTAGTTTCGGGGATGTGTGAAAATGCACCTATACTGCATCTGACCCGTCAAGGCTCGGAGGTAAGAACGCTACACATATGGCTGTCCAGTAATCTGAACGCATGACAGGTAGCAGTCAAATCTATAAGGATCGATGTCGCCGGTGACGATTTGAGGGCCAGAGTTACTCAAGTACGTTTTCGGTTTCCCCTTTGCATGTGACACGCATGCTCGCTTGACAGAGACTCCTGGGCAATTTGCGGAAGCAACCGCCATCACGAAAATATTTTGCTTCTGCGTGGTTTCAGTCACGAATTTGAGCTGCTTTCAGCGATAATTTTCCCATGGACACAATGGCTCACTCACCGCATACCTTGGACACCAGTTCACAAAATCAACCATCAAACGAACATACGAGCGTTGCGTTGCTCAGGCATGCTCGTACATTCGTTTGATGATCAATTCTGTGAAATGGTGTTCAAGATATGTAGTGAGCGAGCTATTGTGTATCCATGGGGAAACGGTCGCTGGAAGTAGCCCAAATTCGTGACTGAAACCAAGCAGAGGCAAAATATTTTCGTGATGCAGTCGCTTCCGTGTACGGAAATCGCCCAAGAGTCTCTGTATGTTTCATGGGATTGAGACCCAGGCTGGAGGGGAGATATCCTTATGTATATGTATATACGGCCATGTACATAGTATTGAAGCTGTTCTAATAAATTATATCAAGCTTGACTGAGTCTGCCGCATGATCACACTATGTAGTATACTAGGTTCCCGCGACGAAGAGTCGTTTCTACGTTATGTACCTGCGTAGGGAATTCAGCACGTTCAATGCGACATTTAAAGTGCGGGTGAGTTCAATAAACCAGGTTTGCCCTTATTCTACCTTTAGGCCGTTGTTATCAGAGCAGGCAAGACAGCTACGCTAGCAGCATCAGAGCTCTTTCGGAATCATAGTAGTGTAAGTACAAGGTAATTAGTACGTACTAGTTACCATTAGCTCTGAGTTTGCATCGGCGTGAGTGGAATTTGGCTAAATAAGAGTGATACGCAGTTTCTTGGCTTACTCGTCAACTTGCTCATGTATAACGCCATGGAGACTTCGTCTTTCACAACTATTAGTAGCTCAGGAACCAAAGAAAGTGTGCGGCTGTAGGAGTAATGATTAACCGAGTCAAGGCGATGTGATATCGACTTGTTTGCTTCAAGTACGTGTAATATTGCTTCCTGTATTATCAGGAACTTACCTCTTCGATTTTGAAATTTGATCAAGGAACGAGGGCACTCGGATGATTATAATTAATTTAGACTGATCGACAGTAAATATATATATATCTAACTGTGCGAAGCTCAGCACAAGTACTTTGTGAGATCCGGGACCATAGCCGGAACCTTGAGCAGTTCATGACAATTGTATGGGAAGCAGTACCTGATAAGCGAGTACTACAATTGTTTTACGTTGATCCAACGGCATGTTCCTGTATGGTAAATTTCCATGCCTTTGCTTAGTATACGCAATGTGCCGCCAGCAGCCCCCTGAACGTCGATATAAAGGCAGGAGTATTGCAAAGCCTAGTAATCTTGCTCTTGTGATTACCCCCAAGATGTCTGCCCCAGCCAGGCCTCACTGCGCTACCAATGCGACAGATATTCCTTTTCCACCTTGATCTTCAGTAAAGTGGTCCATTATCATTGGCGTCTACATCCTTAATGTAGACGCCAAGGATGGTGAATAACTTTCCAATAGAGTTTCTCGGGCCTCGGCGTCTCAAAAACACTTCTTAGATGACGTCCCAAAGATGGGAAACTAATCAGTGCATGGTCTAGCTAGGGTTAAGGTTACTAATAATCTGAATCGACAGGTTTTCCCACCTACTCTTTAACTTCGCCCCGTCCGGGAAGCCTCTCAAATTTCCTTCGTTCATTTTGGCAGCGGCAAGTGGATACAGCAGAGAAAGAGACACCAGCTTACAGGAATCCTCCACTCCCTCTCACTCGCATTAAGAAAGTCACGAAGAGTGATCCAGATGTGAACTTGAAGGTGTGTCATAAAATGATGTCAAGTGTTCGTAACTACGTTCACACCGAACTTAGTTGCAGGTGTATGTGTTACCAATAAAACGTGTCGTACATATCTCGTTCATCTAGCCTCAAGCTGCTCCTCATCACAATTCTGAACACCATACAAACGATGAAGCTGGCGGCAGTGGTCCTGGATCAGGTGAGGATTGTGATGCAGTTTGTAGCGTTAGACCCTATATCTCCTGTGACTCTGTTTTCTCTCACTCAGGAAAACCGTGCTGTGTGTACGACATCCTTACAATTGCTTTTCACAGCTCCAGTCTCTATTAGCACCATCGAACGCAATACACGCACCGCGACCCAATCAAGCATCCACCCATGTATACTAGTTTTTCTTTCTCGCTTATTGTCGTTCTAAACTGACCTAATGTCGACAGTACATGTGGTTTAGTGCTAAGTGTGCTATGTCGTTATTATATATGTCATTTACTCATTAACTTACAGGTCCCAGAGGCAGGATACGAAGCTGTGAAAGTTGGTCTGGCAGTTGTTTTTGGGTGGGGTGCATGCGCGAAGGCAACGAGATGTGACGCTGATACGAGGTGTGTGGACTTGCGTAAGTGCTCGAGCGAAGGTTGCTAAACGTGTGCAGAAGACTGTATAATTTACTAGTCTTTGGGTGTCAACGGGGTGACTTCGCCGAAGTTTTCCTCTATATTGTGGTAGGACATTCAGCATCTACTACACCGATACCATGCTCTACCCCTAGTGAGCTAAGGCCGCCTCAGAACCATAGCGAGCAATGTAGGCTAATATCAATTTCGTGTGCTTGCGTAGGAGTTCGAGCGAGGGTTGCTAAACATGTGCAGCCGGGTCCACCGTCAACGTCATCAAAGCTATCTTTGCATGAGTCTGATACGCTCGAAGGTAACTTCGTCGATAACGGTGGTCGTACCCTTCTACTACGTGGCGTAAACCTACCTGGCTCCTCTAAGGCACCCATGAACCAGCCTTCTCAAGTCTTAGATGGATTCTGGGAAGAAGCTAAGATTGGTAGCGAGAGCTTCATAGGCCGGCCGCTGAAGCTGGATGACGCGGACGAACACCTCGCCCGCCTGCGGGGTTGGGGTTTTCATATGTTACGCTATCCTGTAACCTGGGAGGCCCTTGAAGTACGTGTATTGCTTCCTGTATTATCAGGAACTTACCTCTTCGATTTTCTGGGCTCCTGAGGAACGAGAGTTCCATTGCACTCGGATAATTGGCTGTATAATCGTTGATCCGATGGCCGCCGCCGCCCCGCCTCAGCACTGATATTTTATAATATAATCAACATTACTGCGCGAGCCCATCGGAGCAAGTATCAATGTTGTATTGCAAAGTTCGGTCAGGAGCATGGAATTCTTCTCTGGCACGTTATGTGCATTCTGATACTGTGGGGGACACAGCTGAGGCTAAGGAACCTTGACCCTTCGAGCTCTGAATCTACACAACATAGCCACTGTGTTTACGCGAGTCTTCAACATTTCAAGTTTCCATCTTGGGTCCGACACGATCCCTCCCATCTCAAGGCTGCTTCCTGTGTTATCATGTCTTGAGACCAGCATATCGCTACGAGCAGACGATTCTAAGTTGGGACCCGAGCTTGAAGCTCTTTCGGTATCACAAGGTAATTATATAATTAGATAGTAGCTCTGCATGCAGCTTTGAATGTTGGTGCTGTACGCCATTCTTCTTATGTACTGCATGGTCTTAGGCGACTACGTCTTTTACAACTAGCCAGTAATCAAAGAAAGTGTGGCTATTGACAAAGTGCGTCTTCTGCAGTGTTAATAATTCTCATGATCAAGGGCCAAGGCGATGTGATATCATCTTATGTAGAAATTATGCTTCAAGTACGTGTATCTTCCTGTATCATTAGGAACTTACCTGGATTTTCTGCACTCCTGAGGAACGAGGATTCCATTGTACTCGGATAATTAGCTGTAAGTATGGCATATCGCTGATCGACACCGCAATTTTATGATATAGTCAACGTTACTGCGCGAGCACTGGAGCATTGAATTCCATTTGGTTGGCAGGAGATCCTCAATTCGTTGGGACCATAATCGAGAGCATGGAAGTCCAGAGTCTCTGGGACATTGTGCATTCTGATTCTGTACAGGACACAGCTGAGACTAAGGGATTTTGAGCAGTTCAAGAATTTCGAACGTAGCCGTAGTACAACGGGAAGCAGTAGTACGTGACACTACACAAGACATTTTACGTTCCTACCACGGCATATTCCTGTAGTCGTGGTAAACATTCTCAGCAATGTAGCGCCTTGGTCTCTACAGCCAGCAGCCTCTTAAACGTCGATATAAAGGCAGGAATCTGGCAAAGTCTAGTATTTATTCTCGTTCTGCGGTCATCCCAGCTGCCCCGGCCCTGTAAGATTTCGACCTCATTACGTTGCCAGGGCGACAGATGAATACTCTTTCCGCGTGGATTTTCAGCCTGAGCGTGCTGCCCAAGAAATGGCGGCAGGTCCAACCGGAAACGGAGACGTCGGGCGCGACACACTTGGATGTAGGCACCAATGATAATGAGTGAGTAGACGGGCTTGTAATACCTTGAATGAAGCTGACTCATGTGCCAAAAATTTCAGACGCCCGGTCGACCTTACTGCGAAGGTCGTGAAGGAATTGGCTTATGCTACTGCCCAGGGCAGTTTCGGTGACGTATGGAAATGCATGGTCTCAGACAAAGATAATAACGTGGAGGTTGGTATGAGTTTCATAGTAAATTCTGACATCTGATGATAAGTTTTAAGGTGGCGGTTAAATGCGTCAGGATCGAAATCCAGGATGACAGTTTCAAGAAAATCGTCAACGAGGTGGGCCGACATGATCATGATGTAGAACACTCGCTTAACGATATGAAAATATTTGCAGAGGTTAATGGACGACTTCTGCAAGTGGAAACTATTGCGTCATGATAACATTCTTTCCTTGTACGGGATTACCTACGGATTTGGTCCAGTACCAGCTATCGTATTTCCATGGATGACCAACGGATCCTTGAGCACATATCTTGGTAAACACTATGACAGTCTCTCTGGGGCTCACAAGTTCAGTTTGGTAAGTCTTCCTCGATGATCATTAGCTGCACCGCAACTTATGAGCATCGTAACAGCTTGATGATGTAGCTGCTGGTCTTCAATATCGTATGCCATGTCATTTTTGCATTGCATTAAGATAAGCTGACAGTATATGGTGCCTAGTCCACTCTAAGGGTGTAGTTCATGCGGATCTCACAGGTGTAAGCAAACTGTGGTATGCAGATTTGTGACGCTGCTCACGTCTCCGTTTCCTCTTAGAGCAATGTACTCATCAATAGGGACGGAAGAGCTCTTGTAGCAGACTATGGGCTCTTAACTACATGTTCCGACCTGAACGGGACCTCTTACATCAGGAGTAATGTACGATGGTCTGCGCCTGAGCTCTTCGAAGTTCCGGACACCGAGGATGCATCTAGCTCACCAAAACCAGAAAGTGACATTTATTCATTTGGATGCATCGCATACCAGGTCTGTCGACAACGTGTATTTGCAACGCTCTTGTTCTCATTTGTGTTAGGTTTTATCGGGCAAGCAGCCGTACTGCAACATTCGCAGTGATCACCAGGTGGTCGTGGCCATCCTCAAAGGTGTCAAGCCCAAGCGTCCAGACATCCCTGCTATCGAAGATTGTCACTGGAACTTTATCGAGCAATGTTGGGTTGAGTCATCACAGCGACCTCCCATTGCTGATGTCCGAGATTTGATGTCTCACTATAGAGATGCTATGCGTTAACCCAGGGCTTACGGTCTTCGCATGTAATCAACGCTGACAAGTTAGACACCGCACGGTATTGTCGAATGTTTGGTTACTTGTACTGATCCTCGTTATATATCGCGTTACTCATGCGTTGCAGATCTTATCTCTTACCTCACTGTTAAATTCCATATGCTCATCCACATACATTATCCGTTGTCTGATCGTCCGCTAGTGTTTGCCGTCTACGGCGACGGCCTTCCATCATTTTTTTCCTATCAAACAAGTATGGCCATCGACTTGTTCCGTGTAAATTAAATTCGTTGATTTAGAAGAACCAACCTTGGGGATCCATAATTCAACCGTCACACTCCAAGCTTCAAGGCTTGCTGTACTGCCTGGTTGTGTTGGTTACACATGAATGGGAATATGAATATATTTTATTTGGCCATCTACATAAGCTGAAATGACATATATACGGGTCATGCAGGCCACTTTTGTTCTAGCAACGTGTATCATATACGTCTCAAGACGATACACCATAGGACTCGCCTTGGCTATGGTCATGTCATAATCACCGTTGTGATGTGATTGGTCGACGAAAAATGCAGTTTCATTGGAGGTCGAAAGTCGAGTACGCCAACGACAAGCCTCACTCTCCACGGTCTTTCACCACGCCAGTGCAATCACTACGCTTTATTCACAGACTCCAGTCGTACATCCCACAGCATCGGGGGGTGTCTTCGCAGTGTTCGTCCCAGCGATCAAATTGACCAATGAACTTTTGCCAGATCCGCTTTCTCCACAAATGAGAATGTCAAGCGTGTCTACGTGGTGCGGAGGTTCTTCAATTTCAGTATGGTTGGACTGATTTGAAGTTAATCAAGAGTTGGACAACACTCACACTAGGCGGTTGTGTGCGAGCAGGACTCGACATTGCAATGATGACTCAAGACAAGAAAGGTATGTCTACTTGCGCCTTCGCTGTGTTCAAGTAGAATCGGTTCTGATCACCAAGCCATGGTTGTTAAACTGATAGAACTATGGCATGGAAGTCGACATTAATATTAATATTGTTGGGGGTACTGCTGAATCGAAAGGATCGCTGAAGTGTGCGTGGCATGTTATTGACCTGTGTTTGCCATCTTATCATATTCCCGTTTAATCGCCTGAACTCAGTGTTTCTGCCCGGAGACCCGCGCACACGTAAAGTCAGCCGGTGATCATACTATAGATCTTTCAATGGAAGAGAAGCGTGGCTTAACGTACGTCACTTTTGATTCACTCCATTCTGTTACAATAACATGTAACCGAGAACCCCTCCTACGGAGGTCATCATGACCTTAGCCCCTATCCCGCCTATACACCGTCATTGGAAGACTTACCGACTCAACGGAGACTCGTAGAGACACCTAGAACGGCCCGGATGCCGTTAGATGACCTAGACCAGCCTAGGCAACATCTGGACGGACCTAGATGGTCCTCGACCCGGATCATGAGGAAGCTCTGCCTCATGATCAGAAGAGAAGCCGCATGCCTCAGCATGCGCAGTTAGACTCCAAGGCATGCTTCGCCTTGAGGACAGATAAGAGAGGCATGGTAAGCCTCATGTATAGATAATCGCCCGCATGGCATCAGATAAGATGCCCTTGTATAGACACACTCATACCTACCTACTGAACGTAGTATTGGTCTGTGCACACGGACGACAGTATATAGAGCAGACAGAATCATGTATATTCCCTACTTGATTCTACTAGGTTTTATCCAGAACTTCCTTTGAAAGACAGTCCCAGTCCTTCAGTCTAAGCCGCACCTTAAGGAAAGCCGATGCTACCTTAAGTGGAACCCCCGAACCTCTCAGTCGAGAGAAGATCCCCGTCTCTCCAGTAGCGAGCCCGCTACCAGATTAGGCAATCCGCCTAGGGAGAGCTCGACCTATCCTAGTTCGTAACACATTCCGACTGATTTGGAACGGGCAATGCCAAAAATGCCTTTTGAGTTCTCGGTACTCTAGGCCGCACGTGCGTGTGTCGCAGATTTCATCTATGAAAATCATTTCGGTTGGGCAGATAAGGTCCCTCTTGCACGTGAAATTCCATGTGTACGCATCGTGCATCTTAAGGTAGAGCTCAAGATATCAAGAAGATATGATTGGATCTCGATGAGCCCGGCTTCTAGGTGGGCATGGGGAGGTACGTACCTCACTCGCTAGTCATTGCGAGATTGGAGGCCATTCAACTTGAACGTATTGGATTATGGTCATGGCAGGCTAGTACGATCTTGGACATGCCGGTAGTCAAACTTAAAGCTCAAGCTTTGTTCGACAGAAAATGAGCACGGTAACGCCTAGTGCTGCCGCAGACTCCGAGGTGCCCCATAAATGGTTGGTACTCCTCTGGCACGAACCTGAACAAGAAGGACGGAAGAAGATTCGGAATCCAGCTGATGAGTCTGTCGCCAGATCGCAGAGCTCTAGAGTGGTGTGGCTGTCCCGAGTCTAGACTTCCAACCAGATGCCAAGCATCCAGGAACCAGGACAGAATTATTTATAGCAACACAATAGGAATGAAATGATGATCGAGATCGGTGTGACACATCCCCCTTAATTACAGCAATGACTCGAGTCACATTCAGAGCACTGGGCATATTCCTGTAGTCGTGGTAAATACTGTCAATGTAGCGCCTTGGTTTCTACAGTCAGCAGCCTCTTGAGCATAGATATAAAGGCAGGAATATCGCAAAGCCTAGTAATTGTTCTTGTACCCCCCCAACTGCCTCGGGCCTATAAAAATCTGGCCTCATGGTGCTACCAATCCGACAGATATCTTCCCTTCCCCCTTTGATCTTTAGTAAAGTGGTCCCTTATCATTGGCGTCTACATCCGTGGACGCCAAAGATAATGGATACCTTTCTAATAGAGTTTCTCGGCGTCTCCTTCCAACGTCCCAAAGACGGAGAGTTAATCAGAATTAAGCATGCCTCTAGGGTTAAGGTTACTAATAGACAGATCTTCCCGCCTACTCTTTAATGTTGCCCCATACGTCTAGTCCGGGAAACCTCTCAATCGTTCATTTTGGCAGCGGCAAGTGGATACAGAGACACCAGGTTACAGGAATCCTTCACTTCCTCTCACTCGCACTAAGAAAGTCATAAAGAACGATCCAGACGTGAACTTGAAGGTATGTCGCTCCATCATAAAATAATCATTCCTAACTACATTCACACCGAACTTAGTTGCAAATGTACGTGTTACCAATAAATCATGTCGTACCTCTCTCAATAAACGTCCATCTAGCCATGTCAAGCTGCTCCCCATCAAGATTCTGAACACCATACAAGCGATGAAGCTGGCGGCGGTGGTACTGGATCAGGTGAGGATTGTGATACAATTTATAGTATTAGACCTGTTCTATCTCCTGGGACCCTGTTTTCTCCCACTCATGACATCCGCCCTGTATCTACGACGTTCTTACAATTGCTTTTCACAGCTGCAGTCTCTATTAGCTCCATCAAACGCAACACACGCACCGCGACCCAATCGAGCATCCACCAATGTATACCATTTCTCTCTCTCGTTTATTGTCGTCGTAAGCTGACCTAATGTCGACAGTACATGCTAAGTGTGATAAGTCGATTATTGTATATAACATTTGCTTATTGGCTTACAGGTCCTAGAGGCAGGATGCGAAACTGTGAGAGCTGGTCTGGAAGCTGTTTTGGGGTGGTGCATGCGCGAAGGCACGAGATGTGGCGCTGATACGAGGTATGTGCTTGTGTAGTAGTTTGAGCGAGGGTTGCTAAACGTGTGCAGAAGACTGTATAATTCATTGGCACTCTGACACGTTACTTGGATCAAAACCACCATCAAATCACTGCTTCGACCCGAAAGGCGATGATGAGCACCGGTGCGTATGCATTGACTTTTCTCGCGCCAACTCAAGCCTTTATAACCCTACATAACTATAGCATTATCTTTCCGGGTATGGATCACTCACTCGATCCCATCTTGATTCAGTCGAATATCTTTGTCAACGATCTCGGATGAGCACTGGCATGTGGCTAACTTCGGGATGGAAGTTCTACTATCGGAGTTGTCTTATTTCTCTTCTTCCATCGGAGGGATGGTGAGATGGATCGGACGAGAGCTTTTTCAAGAATTAAGCAATTTCATGGACCATCCTAGTGCTTAAGGTGACATATATTCCTTTGGGGGTATCATGCTTCAAGTGCGTAATTTTACGTCTCAGTGTTTGTGTCCTCAGCATCGCCCTAGGTCCTTTCTGATAAAGCTCCTTATCATTACTTCCGATGTAACACGCAGATTCCTTGCGACATCTACAGGCATCAAGTCATTGCACCCAGACGCCTCCTGCGTTAATGGAGCGTTATCCAGCAATGCTGGACGGCTCCGAGAAGGGCTTAAACGATGACCTGAATGAAAGTGCGAGGATCTTGTGCGAGAGGACACGAGCGTTCTACAATCGGTCTACGATCTCTCGTATCGATATTTATCTGCAGTTCCTGGTACTGATGAGAGCGGGCGGACGTGCACTTCGACGGTTGCGCGAGCAGGGTGGTGCTCACCTGCTAGACGGGCTGTAATGACTGAAGCAAGAGCTGAACGAGGACGGAAGGAGAATCTAGCTGATCCGTCAACGTCATCAAAGCTGTCTTCGCATGAGATGCTGATCGATCGCAGAGCTGCAGATGCCAGCTCTTGAATGTCAACACAGAGGCAGGGATCTTGCAAATATTCTCGTTCTTCTGGTTATCCAAACTGCCCCAGGCCTATAGAGATCCGACCTCATTAGGCTGCCAGTGCGACAAATACCTTCCCTTCCCACCTGGCTCCTTAGTGTGTTGCCCCCATAAATGGCGGAAAGTCCAACCGGGACTAGAAACATCGAGCTCGACGTACCTGGATGTAGACGTCAATGATAATTAGTGAGTAACGCAGTCTTTGTTGCAGAGTTTCAACTTGAATGAAGCTGACTGACATAGCAATTTTTTCAACCGATTTAGACGATGCGCCATACACTATTGGCTTATCTTGATGCGGTGCGAAAATGACATGATATATGGTATTGAATACCAGCTGCCACATCAGTAAGCTGTTGCGACGCTCGTGAGGTGTGCTACAGCTAATGATCATTGGGGAAGACTTAACAAACCGAATTTGTGGGCCCCAGAGGAACCGTCATAGTTTTCTTCAAGATATGTGCTGGTACTGGACCAAACCCGTAGGCAATCCCACACAGGGGAAGACATGAGCAAATATAGTGAGTAGACCTACCAAAAGCAAAGAGAGATGTTGTGAATGTGGTGGCCGAAGCATACTAAATCGTACTCAAATTCAAATTATATCAGCAAACAAGTTGTGGAGAATCGAATGCTAAGATGGTGTTCCTCGAAGAAGAACTCGTGTGATTCGTGATTCGGAATCTCGCGACGACTAGCCAGTGACTTGCGTTCGCACCTTCCCATGTCACCTAGATGCCAAAATTCATACACCTTAAGGACCTGTCCAAAATGTAGTTTTCATAGATAAAGTTGTTTTCGACACACGCACCCCTTGTAAGCTTGATTCCACTACTTCAATGAGTCTGTACGAGGTAATTTTTGAGTTGAAATTAGTTCGGAGAACTCGAGAGGCACGGACAAGGCGCAATGCAGATCAATAAATGCCGCTGAGTTGCCTGCCCGGGATATGCCGGTAGAACAATCCTGGGCTGACGTCGACGCGTCAGCACAGCTCTACTCGATGATCTCCTTCTCCGCACCAATTTCCATATTTGCGTGGAGGGTTATACTACGGATACTTGAAACATGGATCGTCAGATACAACCAATGATTAATACGGTTCTTACAGTTGGCTCCTCCCCCACACCCCCGGGGCGCTAACTACCCTGCAATACCCACATGCTGTTTGGAGTCTCGGACCGCAGTCTAGTGAGTCAAAAGCCATGCTAGATGCCCTTTCATTGAATCCGCGATATGTACTAGAACCAATGGCCAGTTGATTTTACCCCATGGACCAGCGAATCCTGCACCCGATCAATGCACTTCATTTCACTGGAACAAGATCTTGTGGTCCTTACCTGCACCACCTGCAACAATAGTCACTTTCTTACCGCTTGATCCACCTTATCTGGGCGTTCCAACACCGTGGTGGTGTACACTGGTAGTAAATGAATCGACTTTAATTCTGGTGTGTAACGTTGTAGCCCGAAAAGAACGCTTTAATTCCCGTTGAAATGCGCGTTAATGCAGAAAGTCTGGGAATTGGCCGGTCTATATAGACTCATTACAGACTCCGCATGCAGGACTGCGTGCAGGGTATTCCCAACGTGGTGCTCGTCACTAAAAAAACTCTGATGTGCCGCCCATCAGTAAGTCTGGCCATCGATTTCTTGGGGTTCCGTGCACATAAAATGAGGGTTCGTCGATCTAGAAGAACCAACCTTGGGAATCTGTGATTCGACCGTCACACTTCAAGGTTTGCTATATTATTGCCTAGTTGGAATGAATGTGAATAGATATTATTTGGCCATCTACATAAGCTGAAATGGCATATATACGGGTCATGCAGGCCACTTTTATTCTAGCAATGTGTATGTCTTGAGACGAAACACCGCAAGACTGGCTCATATCAATATGGCTATGGCTATGGCTATGCTGCAGTCACTGTTATGACGTGATAGTCAACGGAGAATGAAATTCTACAATCCATTAACGGAGAATAGGCGCTTAACAAGAACCTGTCCGCAGTCCTGCATGCGGAGCCTGTGATAAGTCTATGCCGGCCCAATGCAAACATGATATCAATCTTGTTATGTGCGGTATTACCTGTGTTTGGTTCAGTACCAGTTATTTTTCTCCTTGTGGATGCATACTGGCATCAAGTCCTGCCTAATACGACAGATAACTTCTGATCGTCTCTGATCGCGTCGTTTTGTTCGAATTGTGTCAAAGTAAGCCAAGTGCGGTGTGCACTTCATTTCAAAAATGGCCTTGACATGAGGCGACCAGTTAGTTTTTGATTCCAAACCGGCCAACCTGCCAAGACGTGCCATGGAAAAGGTGGAACGAACATAAAAAGCCGTCCAATTTCCCAACTCTCACAAGTATCATCCCCCATTCGCACTCGCCTATACATTAGGCTGCAACATAAACAAAGACATGGATTCACGTACATCAACACTACAAAATTCACCGCCTGACCAGTATCTAATACTCCAGTTAATACTCCAGTGCATCCACCGCCTTGACATTTTAGACCAGCGCTTTGACATGTTAGACCGCCGCCTTGACGTGTTAGACCATGGCGTGCGTGAGGCAATGCAGGAGATCTGCAGTGTCAAGAATCCCGTTTGCAATTACCAGTCAGATTTCACAATGGAGCATTCGGGTGGACGTGACGGCACCGTCGACTCTCAAGCTGGAGTCAATGACCTCAATGCCATTACATCGCCTGGATCTTCACATGATAGCCAAATCATGCTACAGCCTGCAGCATTCCATGGAACATCGTCCGGGGTCATGGGATCGCTGTTAGGGGGTACAACAGGTAAGTTGCTTTATAAGCAGTCTTTCCAATACTTACTGTGTACAGGCTTATTGCCCCACGGCGCTTGCAGTTCTCCTATGACAGTTAAGCATTCGGGTGGACATGATAGCATCGTCGACTCCCAAGCTGGACTCAATAGCCTCGATGCTATTCCACCATCTATATCCTCGCACGGTCCCTACATCGTGCCACAGCCTGCACCCTATGAAGTATCGTACGGGGTCACGGGATCGGTGCCAGAGGGTACCGAAGGTAGGTTGCTGTATACGCAAACTTTCCTTCAAAGCTTACCGTACACAGGCTTATTGCTCAACGGCACCCGTGGTTTTGCCAACAATGTAACGCATCAGGGTTTCCCGGCATCCTATGAAATGGATGTCACGGAATCCTCATCAGAGGGTGCAGGTGCTCGCTTCAGTTCCTAGCTTTTCCTTGAGACGTTTACAATATATCCCTAGATTTATCGTTCGATGTCGATGGCACGTCCGATCCCGTGTGTGAGCCCGCTGGGCAACCCGCTGCCCAACAGCTTGGTTCTATTGTGCAAACCGGCCGAGCAAAGGTCAAAGTAGGACGCCCCAAAGTAAAATGCCCCTGGGACAAGTGTCCGAAATTCATCAGCAAGGATGGCCTCAGCCGTCACATTAACGAGGTGCATGAGAAGAAGATTGTGGCTGTTTGTCCAAGATGCAAAAAGGATTTCACACGGACGAATGTGATGACGCACCATGCATGTCCTTGTGAAAGATCCTAGATTATTATCTTGTATAACAAAGCTACCTTGATGGCCAAAAGTTCACCCCTGACTTTGTTTGCTACTTCGAGGGATGCGGAACCATCAATGGGCAGAGAAAGCCGTAATGTAGAGATCTCGAAAGGAACAAGCAAGGCAATGCGCACCGTTGTTTGGAATGTCAAGTGTTTTCAGGGGAGTGCTACAATAGGACATAAACACGAGGTGAAGGTAATGGAAAGGCATGCTCGAACTTTTTCATTCAACTTGCTGGGATGAATTAATGCGGAGTTATTAGGGACCGTTTGGCAACCGCTCGGTTTGGTTTTCATTGGAGACGGAAAAAAGGCGTTCGGAAATGCATCAAATACCTATCACGCTACAAGCAAACTGTGGATAGTGAATCCTGGGATGTGCATGGGGGAAGAGCACCAAACGGCGTGTGGGTATTGCAGGGTAAGTGAGTGGTAGGAAATGGTTAGCGCCCCAAGAGTATGGGGGAGGGGTCAAAGGTAGGATCATTGGTTGTATGTGATGATGATCCGTTTTCCAGGTGTCCATCTAGTATAGCCCTCCACGCAAATATGGAAATTGGTGCGGAGAAGGAGATGCGCTCATAACAAGAAAAATCATGCAGTGTTGATGTAATTATTAGGATTGTTCGGGTGCCTAGACAAGTATACTATCACCAGCATGTCCCGGGCCATGAGTGTTCCACGACTAGTAGTACACCTCCACCCTTGGAGATCTGATCCCTTGGAGGTCGAAAGTTGAACGTTGAGTACGCCAACGACAAGCCTCACCAGCAAGCGGCAACTCAGCGGCATTGATCCACATCGCCTTGTCCACGCCTTTGAAACGGGTTCTTCATATTAATTTTCGCTCACGAATTCGAGGTCCCTACAGGTGTGTGAATTCCCTATACGTGCGTGCATCATTTTGTCGATCAACATATTAATCTTGATCTCATTGAATCTTAGCTCGATGCGGCACGCTTCAACTTGGGCGTCGATCGGATGTCTTAGTGTCGATCTAGACATTTAGGGTGGTAAGCTCATCTTGAAGCCATGCGTAATGCAAGCTTACTTGTGTAAAGACTCGGTTCGGAATGCTGAGCTCGGCCTACTAGGTGGCATATGAAAGGTGCGAGCGCACATCACTGGCTAGTCGTTGCGAGACTCGGATTCCTGGTCTGTTTCTGGGTACTTGGCCCTCTTTCAATCCTTTGTCTAGTCACTTGAACCTTCTGCCTTACACGATTTTCGTACTGCAAAACTCACAACATATACCTCATGTGCCTGCTGCCTACTTGCTTTCATCATGCTGCATTGGTACGAACCACAACTTCACTCATTCATAGTACTAGTTGCTCAAATGTCCCCTACACAACCGCCTTCTACGAAGATCACTTGCCCAGTTACGTGTCCCGAGACTGCCGATGAAGACACTACCACTATTTAATTTGCAACGTCCAGAGGTGTCCCAATTTTTTTCAATGGAGTGCTGTCATACAAAATAGTAAGCCATGCTAAGTAGATACGTGAAGAAAACGACAGCGACTTACCCGGCTAATAAAGGTCCGCTGACGGCCGGATCATTCAGTGTTTCTTGTACCATCGGTGTCGAAACCCATCCACGTGCAATACAATAGGACATGAATGTTTTTCAGCCCTAAATCCATTGTCCGACCCCTGTGTTGATCGAGGACACGAGGACAGGAGGACAGGCTAAGTTGAGTTATATCTACAATGGTTAATCCCACGAATCCGCGCTCCCCAAGCAGACGGGTCACTGACGCCGAGCGAGAAGCTGCAGTATGCGTTCACAAGCACCGTCGACGCGTGGGTGTTCAGTTCCATACGGTATCGCTGCCACGCATGTTTAGGGAAGCAACTCCTGTTATGAACTTCGGACTATTTGTCGTGTTTTGGCACCTACTTGCTGATAATTCTGTTTCGGTTATGTTGAACTTTGTTCCAAGCTACTTTGACTAGATAAGACTAGGTGCAGGTGGTACAGACTTTCAAAGTGCATCCGACGCCGTCGGAGCAGCTGTTACCATAAATAACAATACCGGTGGTAATTCATATTAATTGTGTCTATTGTCCTTTGTACGATGATTGGAGTTGGCACTTCTCCAGTCCTTCACTACGCCAGTACAACCACTACGCTTTATTCACAGACGCAGACTCCGAAAAAGACTCCTTATCATCACCGTCGGCCTGGTCGGGGATGATGATGGTAGTGCCGAAGGCCCTACCGACTAAGCCAAGCAAATGGTAGCTAACACCCGCCTGTACCACCCCCCGCTGTCACGCTGTGTCCTACTTAGTACCAATGTGAGGGAAATACGATATACAAAGTGTGGAATATAACGTACATTTGGACCTCATGAATAGTGCTTTGGCGACACTGCTCTCGGATGAGGTTCCAGACAGCATTGTATGACTGGTTGCGGCGCTCCACAAACATAAGCTCTTCCCTTTCCATCGTAGTGATACAAGCGTGGCCAGCAAAGATCATCCCGTGGTTTAAGATGGTTTTTTCATTGAGCTTCCACCAGTTTTCCATCTCTGGAAGATAAATTTCCAAACATGTGACGACAAGGACAATTGGAACTTTGCTCTTGACTTGGGAACAGATTAACTCGTAGTTCCGGCGGAGTGTCCGAATGTTCTTCCCACCCCGCACACAGTACATGATGAGATGAACGTTGCCTTGCTCCATCAGAGTTCGAAGAAGCTCCTTCAAAACTTTTCGAGCTTCCTTGTCTGAGACCGTCCCTTCAGTGCCCTCATCCAGACCTGCAATCCAGTTCAGTAATAGCCACGAAGAGGGGTGAATTGGACCAACCAGCTGTATCGATAAGCTTTACCTTCAATGTCCCAGCCTGGCGACTTGTCAATTTGTCTGAGTCGTATACATTTGTTCCAGTCGTACATCCCACAGCATCGGGAGATGTCTTCGCGATATTCGTCCCAGCGATCAAATTGACCAATGAACTTTTGCCAGATCCGCTTTCTCCACAAACGACAATGCCGAGCGTGTCTATGTGGTGTGGAGGTTCTTCGATTTCAGTATGGTTGGACTGATTTCAAGTTAATCCCAGCTAAGCAAGAGTTGAACAACACTCACACTAAGCGGTTGTGGGCGAGTAGAACTGGACATTGCAATGCTGATTTGAGACAAGGAAAAAGCAAAATGTATGTCTTGACTTGCGCCTTCGCTGTGTTCAAGTCCCTTCTCTAACCCGATGCCTTTAAGTCTTCTACAAATGAATGAAATGATATAGCATCATGCAGGCCGTTCTGTTCTAGTAATGTGTATGTCTCAAGGCAAAACACCGCAGGACTCGACTCGTTCATATCAATATGTCCATGTTGTAGTTACCCTGGCGGAGAACGAAAATTTACGATTATTAAGGCCCATTCAAACGGGAAGTTCCGTCTACTTGAAGTCGATTCAACGAATGAGGCGGTGATTCAAGCGGCGAGGAAGTGACTATTGTTGCGGGTAGTGCTGCTACATACAAGGAACCCCATCGGGTAAAGTCAGCCGGTTAATTGCGGATCCAATGGAAGAGGACGTACGTCTATGGTGTACATAAATCATTTTCCTTCATGGGGATACAGACGAACCCTAGGCAACTCACCACGCTGCAATTGAGCCATATTTAACACAGAGCTAATCCACTACATGCATCAAAAGCAATCGACAGACTGCCAGTGATAGGAGTTTGCCGGTGATAGTGAATACTTGCAGCACTCTTGTTCTCATTTGTGCCAGGTTTATCGGGCAAGCAGCCGTACTGTAACATTCGCAGTGACCACCAGGTGGTTGTGGCCATCCTCAAAGGTGTGAAGCCTAAGCGTCCAGACATCCCTGCTATTGAAGATTGTCACTGGAACTTTATCGAGCAATGTTGGGTTGAGTCATCACAGCGACTTCCTATTGCTGATGTCCGAGATTTAATGTCTCACTATAGAGATGCTATATGTTAACCCAGGGCTCGCACATAATCAACACTGATTGGACACCGCACGGTATTGTCGAATGTTTGGTTACTCATACTGATCCCGATCGCGTTACTCATACGTTGCGGATCTTATCTCTAGTAGCTAGATCTTACCTCACCGTTAAATTCCATATGCTCATCCACGTTATCCGTTGTCTGATCGTCCGCTAGTGTTTGCCGTTTACAGCGATGGCCTTCCATCATCAGACAAGTATGGCCATCGACTTCTTGGGCTTCCGTGCACATACAATGAGCGTTCATCGATTTAGAGGAACCAACCTTGGTAATGCATGATTCGACCATCACACTTCAAGGCTTGCTATCATGATATTGCCTGGTTGTCTTGGTCACGAATGAATGTGAATATATTTTATTTGACCATTCACACAAGCTGAAACGTCATGTTCACGGATCATGCAGGCTACTTTGTTTCAAATTTCAGCAACGTGTATCAGTGTGTATCATATGTCTCAAGACGAAATACCGAGGACTCGCCTATATCAATAAGGCTATGGCTATGTTATGCTAGTCACCGTTGTGACGTGATGGTGAACGGAGAATGAAATTCCACAATCATTAACCGAGAATTGGCCGTCTATATAGACTTAACACGGACCTGCACGCAGTCCTGCATGCGGAGTCTGTGATAAGTCTACATATATAGACCGGCCAAATTTCCAAACTTTCTGCGTTTAAACGGGAATTGAAGTGTTCTGTTCGGGCTACAACGTTGCACACCAGAATTACATAAAGTTGATTCATTCACTACCAGTGTACACCACAGTGGTGGAATGCCCAGAGAAGGTGGTTCAAGCGGTAAGAGAGCAACTATTGTTGCAGGTAGTGCCGCTGTAAGGACCGCAAGATCGTGTTCCAGCGAAATGAAGCGCAATATTCGTGTTGATCGGATCAAGATCGGATGCCGGATTCGCTGGTGCACCGGGTAAAATCAACCGGCCATTGGTTCTAGTACATACATATTGCGGATTCAATGGAAGGGTGTCTAACGTGGCTTATGTAACGTGACACTAGACTGGGGGTGGAATGGACTCAATGGAGAATGAGTCTACCAACCTAAATGATTCTACTACCTTTCCTATCCCACTGCAAGTCTTTGTTAGAGAACATCGGGATGAAATTGTTGTGGTGGAAAAGCCACCCGTCTGTTATGATAGCTACCATCGGTGGTGGTGAGATCATCAACACCGACAACCAGCAAGTGCATGATCATTGTACCCTGTAAACAAGTTCTGACAATGCACTTCCTCATGTAATTCTAATGCAGCCTACCCGACCTGACAGGATTCGTATCCAAGGAGTCGCCTCATCCAGTAGCGCACGGTAGTTTCAGGGATGTGTGGAAATGCATTTACATCGCATCCAACCGTGGAGGCAAGCATGCTACACGTGTGGCTGTCCAACAATCTGAATTCATGACAGGTAGCAGTCAAATCCATAAGGATTGATGTTGCAGGCGACGATTCCAGGGACAGAGTGACTCAGGTACGTTATCGGCTTCTCCTTTGCATGTGATACGCTTGCTCAAACCTCATGTCTTCAGAGACTCTTGGGCGATTTTCGTGCACGCAAGCAACTGCATCACGACAATCTTTTGCCTTTGCTCGGTTTCAGTCACGAATTCGGGCTACTTCTAGCGATGATTTCTCCCTGGATACACAACGGCTCGCTCACCACATATCTTGAACACCGTTTCACGGAAATGACCATCGAACAAAAGCTCCTGATCGTGACTCGTGAGTTTCCCAGAAGTGCTGTTACATCATGGTATTGATTGGAACCTTAGTTACGGCAAGTCGCTGCAGCCATCAGCTACATCAGTGAATTCATGAGTCCGTGATATCGTAGCCGTGGGAACTATAGGAGGATATAATTCTGCTCCTGCTAAATATGACTATGTATACTACGATAAATTTGAGTTGTTGGTACATAGCCATTAATGTCTGCAATTCTAGATTATCGTGAGGAGTTTATGAGAAAATTGTGACGTCGTAGCGTGATGACCGGTAAGAGATGGAAGCGTAAGTTTGACCCCCTTGTTGAGCATTCTCATTCTCCCATATTTATGTTGTGAATTACAAGGCTATTCAAGGCTTTGTCGTGGAAAACGGTGTTCGCATTGGGCATTAAATCTGTGACGACCAGTAGCGTCAAGTGCGTCCGTTTTGTCACAAAGTTTTGGTATCACACATAATCGATTATCCGAATAGTCTCCATGATGATATGGGCAACATTGCATCTGGTAATGCGGGTGCCTTACCCCCGCAACTGGATAGTACGACGATAGAACCTAAGGTGTTGTCACGATTGGCGCAGGCATGGCACGTGCATAGTATTCAGCTGGCTGGGGAGAGTACAAACGACGTATAAGGGCTCTGAATGCACTATAGTCGGTGTCGTCCTCGACAAATGTGAGGAAGGCATTTTTTTAGAAAGAAAATTCCAGCTCTTCGTCCTCGTCGTCACCATCATGCTCCTCGCCGTCCATTCCATCTGAGTCCACATCCTCTTCATTGTCACATTCCGAGTCGTCATCCTCGTCACTGCAGTCTTCTTGTTGGTAGTCGCCTTCTTGAAAACCCTCGCCGCCATCCAGGTCCTCCTCGTCTACAACATCCATGGCTTCGGTCCCTGTCCAAGTCGGCGAATCTGTACCAAAAGCGTCTCATGCGATCCTTCGAAGTGTGACTGAATGACCCACGCCCAAATGGGTATAGCGCATAAACATGTCTCTATCAACGAATCTGGCTCAAAATCGTGAGCGTTATGGCACAAGGGGTAAGGGATATTCACACTTACATCCCGACGTAGTATTCTTTCCAATCATCTAGCTCCCCTCCAGGACGTGCAAGCGACTTTCCGTGGCGAAGCGAACTTATACCTCTTCCTGAGTGAAATGCAGGAATCAAATGCGCCCCTCTGATGACTTGCCCTGGGTCAAGGAAGCCAAATACATCCGTGTCTGATTCTTCAACAAATGCAACCTTTGGAAGGCGAGCACATTTCATACCAGATCTATGGTTTTGTACGAGTGCCAGCCACCTTACCCACAGAATGTCTAGGTGCCGCTTCACAGGCAGGTGACCGTCGTGAATCCATACCTCCGCGTGATAGATGCCTAACACCCGGGCATACCAGTATGGGTGCCTAGGATTTGTCTCCCCTGACAGCACCATGACATCCCCATGAGTTCGGGGGTTGATGGTGTCATACTCGTGCCTCAAGTCATAAGTGGTGTAGTGCACCTGCATTGTCTGAACCGCATACATTACGTTGTTGGGGATGATCACCGAGTTGCGTTCCTGGTCGGTGAAGACGTGATCACAAAAGGTAATGTCGAGCTCCCGCAACCTATAGAGGATGTGGTCCTTTAATTTTGGCATGAATTTCTGACGAACTCTGTGAGCAGATTACAGGTGCGTCCAAGATAACATCTACCTTGACAGCTGGATCACCCTCATGTTCCCGGATAAAGGTGAAGATCTGTACTGCATTGTTCCGATTCGTTGCGATATGATGATGCTGTTCCAAGGAAGTTGACTGTAGGGCGTCGGCTCCTGACTGATTGCCTGGTGACGAGGTGCCCGCTACTTCTGCCACCCGCTGCAGAACACGACGCCTACGCTCGTGCTTCGCCAGCTGTGCTGGGGTGTCTAATTTATTTGTCACTGGATAAAACGCCTTCAGGGCTCTGTGAGCAAGCTCTCCCTGTGCAAACTTCAGATACATAGCGTGAATGCTAAAGGTACCTACAATCTGAGTGGTGAACGAATCTGTAGTTCCGAAGAACCGGATGGTTCTCACATAATCACCCATCGCATGAAATTTATAAGTACTTAAATTGAATGTCTTCTGGCGTGCCCCACTCGATTCTGCAGACGTATTGTGAGTTTCAGAATGTTGAGCGGCCTTTCGTTGGCGGGCTGCTCTCTCTTTGGGTAGTTCCACAGCGTTAAACGCGGCACAAGTGTGACGTTGGAACTTTCGTAGCATCCCAGACAGGTTTTTGAAGGTTTCTGCCAGAAAAGTAACGCTGGACTCAGAGTGGAGCCTGAGTTTAGCGAGTGCATGCCACTGGGCAAACCGATACAACAAAGATTGTACCACCGCATCATGAGGGGTCGGAAAAAGTCCTTCAAAGGCCGGAATGGCGCACTAAGAGGGTGTCAGCTGGTATGAAGTATAAAATAAATAACTAGAAGACCTGTAAGATATCTTCAAAGTCGCGCGCCGCTAACCTCTTCATCTCAGAGGTGTTGTTAGAAAACTTGCGGATCACCCCATTGCCAAAAGTGGGAATCTGTCGAAATCTATAGAAGATCAGGATTAGACTACTAGTTAGCAGGCGGCAGCGCTATGTGAAATCTCCATACCTGCCGTCCAGGGTTGACACCAACTGACTCCCGCCAGGGATGGCATAGAGCAACCTGATAAGGTGTGTAAGTAGCGCCTTCCAGGTGCCGAGTTCACACTCGTGCATGAAATCGACTACAAGCATGCCAAATGCATCAAGGCCAAGTGGTCCAAGCCTTTTGGCGAACTGATTCTGCAATATATGGCGTGCAGTTAATTCATATAACACAGGGAAGCATAGTTGCACTCACCAGGATGGGCACCCAGGAGCCCTCACCGAGACTATGTTCTACCTTTACGCCGTCGACCGTGCTTCCATTGTAGATAAATTCGCGAGCCTTCACAACCTTCGCCAAAGCGTATACCCGAAGATTTGTCACTCGACTTTTCATATCTTTCACGAGCCCGAGAAAACTAAACAAGCTTTTGGGCGTAAGACAGCGGGGGCAAGGGCACAACCCCATGTCCTTGATGGTTGCAATTAAAACCCTGTAAATTAACGGTGATTGAGCAGTCTTGAAATAGGTATTCAGAGGAACATACTTTTCAGGATAATCTGCAGAATATGTGAAGATTCGAGGAAAGACCCTCCGCCATATTCCATCAGCACATTTAAGAACGACACCGTGATGATATGCGTGAATGAAGTCCTCGTCCAATAGGATTTCCCAGCAGGAATGAAACAATTCCCTGCGACAGTGGGCTTGAAGGGACGCTATGCCAGTCTTTGATATGCGAAATAAATTACTGAGAATATCTTTCATGCTATCGGGAAGCTGACTTCATCAACAGAAGGCAAGTGTGCTGAATGCAATGAAAACTCACTGACGGCAAGAATCCTACTAGATGGCAAGCTCCTGATTTGGGTGACGACCTTGCATACTTGGTCAGATTTCCGAAATATAAGTAAAGCGGCCAAGCTTTGGCAGTCCCAAAGTTTGCCAGATGCGTGGCATCAGAAAAGAGCATCAGACCGGCGATGACACGCTCCAGTGAGCACCCATGCTCCCTGGGCAGCTTCTGAATGTGGTCCTGAGCTTCCAACCATGCATCGGAGGTGTATAGCTCGTCGAATACCCGCTCTTCATGGCCGTCCAAAGGGTCTTTCCACAGCCATTTGAAAGGGAGGAGATGAAACGCCTGAGCTTGAACATCTGCGAATGCGGCACGCATTACTTCAACAAGAGCGCGGTAGTGGAATCCAGGAATGGTATAGGGCTGAGGGCCGTCCTCCTTCGACTTCGTCGGAATGTTGATGGTAATGTCAGTCTCAATCCAATCATCAGGGAAGGTTACTTTTTTCCCATCCTCATCTCTATCCAGCTCTCGCAAGTTTTGCTTCACGGAGAAGTCTTCAAGGTGCTTGGGGTCAAAGTCTTCCGCCAGTATCACGTCCTTGACCAAGCGCGAGACTTTCGTTTCAGACAATAGAGCACTCCCGGAATTCATCCAAGACATAAGTCTATGGACCGTCATGTTAGGAAAGGGGTAAGGAGGTGGGAAAAGCTTTTGTTGAGAATCAGTTCCTTCAAGTTGGCTAACCGTTGGAGACGTCCTTGCAAGTAAGGAGGATGGGATCAAATGATCTGGCTCGAAGGAGGGACGACGAGGGTACAATCGACAAAGACCGAATGAGTTATACGCGGTCTGTAGAGTGTCCCTTAGCGTTAGAAGGACTCATCGAATCCTGGATTGAGCAGGCAATGAAATCGAGGTTTGAACTGGTGAGACGTTGGCGTTATCCAAGTGGTGGAGGTCATCTTGTGAAGGCTCGACATCGCGGAAGGCTTTCGGAATTCTTCTCATAGATAGTCTAGTTTCCTCTGGAAAATATCAACTCATTGATAAAACAGTCGCTACTCAAGGAATACTGACCTAGACCATCATGATAATCCGAGGCGTTCAAGTTTGGCTCCACATTCTCTATCTCCGAGTCAACATCAATAGGAATACTTTCAAGTTGCCATTCAAGTTGCTTTGAGTTAGGGGGAGTCTGCGAGTCTAAGACGCTGGAGACACCTTGCAAGCTGTCAGCCATAAACATGGGCCTGCGGAGCTTGTCAGGAGCAATTGGCTTCAAACTTGGGCGGTCCTTCACATGTCAGACAGCAGATAGTATTCTCTGAGATTACGTTGAATGACTGAGTTCAAGTTTGAAATAGATAGAACACTTACTGGCGTATTGCTGAAAGGGGGCAGAACCGAGCTTGAAGAAGCAGCCTCTTTTGCCCGGTCTTTTCTCCTTTGACTGGCTAGAGTACTAGATCTCTTATAGAAATGGCACGTCGCGCGATGCCTGCTGAGTCCTCGGTTGTCGGTCGCCCTTTTCCAAGAGCAACCCAGAGCGTCACAAGATACCATTACAAGAAACAAGAAAAGGCCAGCCCAGAACGTGCGCATTGTGCGCTGGGCATAAGCAATGCAACCGCGTGACTAGTAGTAGTAGGCCTGAACCGATGGTCAGTCACAGTCACGGTAGTAGCAGTCAAACCAGTAGTACTAATTAGGGCCCTCTGTCACGGTCAGAACCTTGCAAATCACATAGGAACAGTAGGACGAAGTCTGAACAACTCGAGGTTAACGTTGAACGTTGAACCTCCGTGACTCATCTAGTAGGCTTTATAACGCGCCGCCAGGTAGGCTGAGTGTTACACATCTCGGGCTCAGGGTTGAAACGAAGCGTATTGACGATTATGCAACCATTTGATACGGATCCACTTCTCGAAATCAAGCTCAAACAAGTGCAAGAGGTGGGATTAGTATCGTAGTCTATATATATGTGTGTACTATACCGGCCAACAATCTAGTCTAAACATCCTCACAGCGGGGACATAAATCATGCTGCTCTTCACGAGTATACGTCCAGCACCGTGGACACTTGCTCGAAGATGCAGGTCCAACGCAAATTGCTAGCTCTAAGTCCGAGCCTACGCAGAAGGAATAAGGCAAATGAATACCAGAAACAGCTTTCAGAAACATAGAACATACCGGGTATATCCATTGAAGAGACATAGGAC